ACATTTAAATTATCGTTTGTTTTCTTTAGATTACATTAGATTTTTTTTTTAAAACGGCGTATCTTAAACAATTGTCTAATAATTTCAAATAATTACTAACAGCTTATAAAAATGGAGAAAAAAATGTGAATATGGTCAATATTAGCTGTCTTACTTTTCAGCACATTTTTAAAAATCTCCAATCCCTCCTGTAGGCCGCTAACTGCAACTGTATGGAGTTCTCGATCCTACTGGACTAAGGGCCGCTACCCACAACTCTCCGGGGTTGTCTATCCTGCTGAACTAAGGGCCGCTACCCACAGCTCTACAGAGTTATCTGTCCTGCTGAACTAAGGGCCGCTAGCCACATCTCTACATAGTTATCCGTCCTGGTACTGTTTTATTTCAACACTGCATGTTGGTAAAATACAATTTTAGGAGAAAAACTTTCTTGTGGTCTTGACGAGACAATAAGTTCTTATCAAGTACAAAGTAGTGACGAATTCCCTTTGTTATTGTACATAATATGTGGCTGTGGCGTATCAAGTTTTGTTTGTACCAGAATTATAAAATACGATAGAAACCATATACTATATACAATTTTAAATTAAATAACCTCATGGTCCAGATAGCTCGGACTAACCATTAATAAAATTTCAAATGTCACCATCAACACAGAGCTAATGTCACCATCAACAAAGAGCTAATGTCACCATCAACAAAGAGCTAATGTCAAAACTAACAAGGCGCTGATGTTACCTTTAAGCAAACCTCAGATGTCATCATTATCAAGATGTGACTGCACTATCAACAAAATCTCAGATGTCACCATTAACAAAGGACGGTGGTGTCACCATTGACAAAGGGCTGATGTCACCACTAAGAAAATCTCAGATGCCACCATTACCAAGCTCTGTCTGCACTATCAACAAAATCTCAGATGTCACCATTAACAAAGGACGGTGGTGTCACCATTGACAAAGGGCTGATGTCACCACTAAGAAAATTTCAGATGCCACCATTACCAAGCTCTGTCTGCACTATCAACAAAATCTCATATATCACCATTTTCTCCGCTACATCTATTGGAAAAAACTAATTAGCCACATTGATTAATTTGATAAATTATTATCAAAATAATTCCTAACTTAGCAGAAAGCATCAGTCTCTTAGATTTATAACCTGAAATCTTTTTAGTTGTAAATTAGATGAACTATTACAAGTCTTCTGACTCGATAATGATAATTTTTATAAGTTTTGCTTTGTTAACAAGTTGTATTTTATTCTTTGTGATGACAAGTTGGTGCTAGAAAAAGAATTTTTGGTGACAAGTTAGTGCTAGAAAAAGACTTTTTGGTGACAAGTTAGTGCTAGAAAAAGACTTTTTGGTGACAAGTTAGTGCTAGAAAAAGACTTTGTGATGACAAGTTGGTGCTAGAAAAAGACTTTGTGATGACAAGTTGGTGCTAGAAAAAGACTTTGTGATGACAAGTTGGTGCTAGAAAAAGACTTTGTGAAGACAAGTTGGTGCTAGAAAAAGACTTTGTGATGACAAGTTAGTGCTAGAAAAAGACTTTATGATGACAAGTTAGTGCTAGAAAAAGATTTTGTGATGACAAGTTAGTGCTAGAAAAAGACTTTGTGATGACAAGTTGGTGCTGGAAAAAGACTTTGTGATGACAAGTTAGTACTAGAAAAAGATTTTGTGATAACAAGTTAGTGCTAGAAAAAGACTTTGTGATTATAAGTTAGTGCTAGAAAAAGACTTTGTGATGACAAGTTAGTGTTAGAAAAAGACTTTGTGATGACACATTAGTGCTAGAAAAAGACTTTATGATGACAAGTTAGTGCTAGAAAAAGATTTTGTGATGACAAGTTAGTGCTAGAAAAAGACTTTGTGATGACAAGTTGGTGCTGGAAAAAGACTTTGTGATGACAAGTTAGTGCTAGAAAAAGACTTTATGATGACAAGTTAGTGCTAGAAAAAGACTTTATGATGACAAGTTAGTGCTAGAAAAAGACTTTGTGATGACAAGTTGGTGCTGGAAAAAGACTTTGTGATGACAAGTTAGTACTAGAAAAAGATTTTGTGATAACAAGTTGGTGCTAGAAAAAGATTTTGTGATGACAAGTTGGTGCTAGAAAAAAAGACTTTGTGATGACAAGTTGGTGCTAGAAAAAGACTTTGTGATGACAAGTTAGTGCTAGAAAAAGACTTTGTGATGACAAGTTAGTGCTAGAAAAAGACTTTGTGATGACAAGTTGGTGCTAGAAAAAGACTTTGTGATGACAAGTTAGTGCTAGAAAAAGACTTTGTGATGACAAGTTGGTGCTAGAAAAAGATTGTGTGGTGACAAGTTGGTGCTAGAAAAAGATTTTGTGATGACAAGTTGGTGCTAGAAAAAGACTTTGTGATGACAAGTTGGTGTTAGAAAAAGACTTTGTGATGACAAGTTAGTGTTAGAAAAAGATTTTGTGATGACAAGTTAGTGCTAGAAAAAGACTTTGTGATGACAAGTTAGTGCTAGAAAAAGACTTTGTGATGACAAGTTGGTGCTAGAAAAAGATTTTGTGATGACAAGTTAGTGCTAGAAAAAGACTTTGTGATGACAAGTTAGTGCTAGAAAAAGACTTTGTGATGACAAGTTGGTGCTAGAAAAAGATTTTGTGATGACAAGTTGGTGCTAGAAAAAGACTTTGTGATGACAAGTTGGTGCTAGAAAAAGACTTTGTGATAACAAGTTAGTGCTAGAAAAAGACTTTGTGATGACAAGTTAGTGCTAGAAAAAGACTTTGTGATGACAAGTTGGTGCTGGAAAAAGACTTTGTGATGACAAGTTAGTACTAGAAAAAGACTTTGTGATAACAAGTTGGTGCTAGAAAAAGACTTTGTGATAACAAGTTGGTGCTAGAAAAAGACTTTGTGATGACAAGTCCTTTAAGTTCTATACAAAGGTTCCTAGCTGACACAAAGTATTTGATTTAATTAATTAAACGTGCTTGATAACCCACCAAGATGTGTAACATTCTGATCAAGTTTGAGAACCCTTCAGAATTCAGTACTTTCATATCAACGATGCAGCTTATTAACACTGTGTTTGTTTATACCATGAATAATTCCTCCACCCCGTACACTTACAATTGGCATCAAAAGGTAGTTACAAAATGTCAACAGAGTGTTCTCATTAGGCCAGATCCAATCGTTACAACACTTGCTAGATCTAATCCAATCGTTACAACACTTGCTAGATCTAATCCAATCGTTACAACACTTGCTAGATCTAATTGCCATGAATAAACATGAAATTTCTGGGGACGCTCAGCGACTGATTCAATGCATTGTTTCTCCCATGGGAACCTTGACACTTCGGAATATTTGCTGTCCAACTGCTTGCCCTGCGGACCGTATGCGGTCCATATGTTGTCAACACGAATTTAAATTTTCTAAATAGCTGATATTGAAATTTAGAAACCCATAGAAATAGTAAAGAATTTGATCAAAAACTGATAAAATGAAGAGAAAGATAAATAGTTTAGTCACTTTTATTTTTACCGCGTTTAATGATTTCTTTGTCTGTAGAAGTGAAGCAGCGCTGATTAATGCTAAATGTGCCTCTATCCTCACGCTGGTCTACCATAACTATACAAGCATGTGTTTTAGCTTGCTTCTATTTAAACTAACAAAACTGAGCACCAAATATATAACTTTAAAAACCGCTTAAAAACTGTAAGGTAACTCAGAAAGCTAGTTTCATACATTCCACATTTCTTGTGGCTCTTTACTAATGTATTTTGTAATTTATAAATAAAATTCATAAATTTTTAATAAGGTATATATTTATTACCGCGCATTTTGTAAATCAATGTGTAAATCATGTAATCGATAAAACTGACAGGAAAACTTGAGAACTGGCCAAAAACTAAACAGCGGCCCACTGACCAACAAAGGTTGGACATGCGTGTTGTTGTTTGTCCCTAAATCGTTGGCTCTTGCTCGCTAGCCATTTTTTGCTAAAACTGTGTGGTTGGAGCGTTTCAAATGTTGCACATAAAACTGGCCAATTTGTAAAGTGTTACTAATACGTTCATGTTATTTGTGCGCTAAAGACTTGTTTTTTTCAGGGATTTTTCTGTGTTAACTTCATCTCGGTTATTGAATAATATCTAGCTAAATATTCTCAAATGTGAATTGAAATAAAGTATCAACTTATCATTAAAAATTAACTTTTTACCACTGATTACGAATGTACTATGTAGTTCAGTCAATTTTTAAAAGTTTTTTTCATAACATCACCGAGCTTCAATTTTTTCTGTCTTCAGTCCTAGTAGCTTCCCCTCTAAAATCATGTATGTGGGGTCACGGTTATGTGAGGTCACTGTTATGTAGGGTCATGGTTATGTGGGGTCACGTTTGTACAAACCCTCTAAACTATTGAATCTAACATGAAACAACGGATCCTTCATCACGTGTCTTAGTTGGTCGTAACATGTAGATTCGGTAACTTCTTCTAGAGCGAGTGGTTCGTCCATCCCCACCCCCTTACCTAACCAAGAAGTGATCCACCAACGATCATATTTTATTGTTACCAACTTGTTGCCTCTCACACGTTTTCTTTTGACGTACCTGACATTTTGTACACAGGTGTACCGTAGTACGTCACCTCTGCATAATATGTGAACTATTCGTATGACGTCATCAAAACATGTGTAAAAGTATTCACGGACATTTTAAAAGCTGGCAAAAATCATCAACTATTGTATCTTGTGGTGCAATAACAATTTTAAATATGGTCTTTAGATAGTTGTATATACCTTGACACAATTAGATAAGATAATTAGTATGTGTGTTTAATGTTACCAAAAAATAAATCAACAATTAGCCTATGTAAAAATTGTAAATAATATGGATTGTTTTTTGTCTTGCGACTCTTGAAATGTATCAATGTGGGTGTAGGTATGGCATCAAACTGTTGACCCAGGCTGGAAGTCTGCTGATTCTGGCACTCGATCTACCTGGGCTCTGACCTCCAGCACTCTGGCTAACATGAACCTACCTGCGTGTGCCGTGCTGCCGTGTGGAGTACACGGGAACACATTACGTCACCTGTGTTTGGTTGGTGCCTGTGTGTTGCCAAGGTAACCAACTTGCAGAAATTGGGGTGTTGTTCGTGTTTCGCCATCTAACATCATGTTTGGTGAGTTCATTAACTTTGTTTTGCTATTTTTAGAAACAAACAATAATTAACATAACAGCTGATCGCGCGTGACCCGTTGACCTACACACAGCACGGGTGAGCAGTTACAGGTGCAGCCATCTCGCACACATCTACTCACCTGCATGCTCATAACTTGACATACACTATTGTTCAAATGTGCATGTTCATACGTAAAGCAGCTACGGTTGACTAGCTAATATTTTTACAAAATACCATTATAATTTGTACATCTATTATAGCGATAATTAATAAAATACATATTAAATGACTTGAATAGGTTAGCTAAAGAAGATTTATTACTACATAGAAAAGCTAAATAGCTGTACAGAAAAGATATATAGCTGTATTATGAAAGTTATATTGTAGACAATGAAGCTATATTCTGGATAATGCCTATATCTTTTAGTAGCCTACACAATCCAGTATTATTGGAGGACAGAGTTTACTAAATGAAAAGTGGGTAGTGGTGGGGGCGACTTGGGGGGGGGGGGGGAGAAAATCAGCAAATAATCCCTGTCTGTTACTGTCAGCCACTTATAATTGTAAAAAAACAATTTTTTGAAGTACCATTTGCAAAGGCTGTTTTAGAAAATTAACGGATAATCCATTTTAATAATTTTTAATCGTGCTTTTTGATAACTATGTAAATGTAAATATTAAAAATTATTTGAGGATAAAAAACATGAAACTAAATAAAATGTTAGCAGAATTATTTATTAGAATATCTAGTGCTGCTAACTCAACAAAGACAAGCTACAGTATGTTCTACTTTATACATGAGAGTTACCTTTCCTTTCTTCACTCAGTCAAATGTAACTAGCACATCTATACACAACACGTCAGAAAGCACCAATTATACCATGACTTGAGGTTTGAAAAATTTCCATAATTATCTCCCTTTGATTCTCACACGGACTGGGCTTCCTGCATCTCCAGTGTTGAGTGTTGACGTCATAATTCATAGTTGGTACTTTTCAGTCTCGTAAAATATGAAAGAAAATTATATACAGCTGCTAAACTCAAATATCCCAGACTATAGAGTACATTTAAAACAAAAGAAATAGAATTTATGTGTCCGTTATTTCATCTTTTAACAAGTATTTTTTAATTTAAATAGTTCACTTGGTCATTTGTCGCTTTCTATAACAAGTTTTTTGTAATAGTTCACTTGGACAATATTTGTCGCTTTATTTAACAAGTTCTTTTTGTTTTAAATAGTTCACTATGTCTATCTGTCCGTGAGTGGGTTTGTGGACAAATATTGTAACTAAATCTTGACCCATTTCTGATGCAGCGATTTCTTTCAAACTTTCCAGATAGATTCATTTCCGATGACGACGCAAGAATATCTCATTTTAAATCCTATTATCTGTTGAATGTATCATTGAAAATTAAACATTGATCACTCGAGATATCCGATCAACTTTTTAAATATTCTATCGAAAGTAATAAAACTGTGTTTTATGTTCCTATTTATATGGCATTTTAAACCTTATTAAAAGGTTGTTTTTTACTTTTTTTAAAAACTTTTATTAACATGGTCGATGAAGACAGTAACTTGTCTTTAGAATGAATGTTTCGTGCTCTGTTTTAAAATACATGTACTTTGAGGAGTGGATAAGTTCTGTATAAGTGCAAACTATATCCCTGGAAAAACCAATGTAAACATGTAAAGGCTAGTAAAGACATGAAAACATTTACTCGTTGTTACTGTGGTTGGGGTGGAGGAGCTAGCGATGGCAACCCAAACGGCCAGGGTTTGAGTCCACTGTACCGAGTAGTGTTGTCACGATGGTCACATAGAAAAATTATTTTTTGAACATACATAACTTCATCCCGGCTAGGCCAGGTCTCGCAGGATTTTTTACAACACTGTTAACTAATTAAACACATACACACACAAACACACACACACACACACACAAACAAACACCCATGTATCTATAACTCAACTCAATTTAACTTCCAAAGTTAGCCCCCAATGCACTGTTAACTACCCAAAAATGTGCTTGTTTGTGATCTGTTTTAATCAGCCAATCTCTGTGAACTTAACCAAACTGTGAACTTAACCAAACTGTGAACTTAACCAAACTGTGAATGTTTCTGATTATTTCAGGGGCAGACTGGCGCGCCATCTGGCGGATTTCCACCGGCCATGACCCTGAGATCGACTTTGTGGAGCCTTATGTCGCCTCCCTTATATTTTTCGCCATCAACATGATGGCTGGCATCCTCCTACGAGCACTGTCCTCCGTGTTCCTCCCGCCCTCCATTCGTGGGTACGCCCTTGATTTTATCACAACGATGGAGGCGTGTGCATATTTCTTTGAGAACAACTTCGTCTTAAAGGTAAAATTCACAACTAGATACACATTTCAAGGCAGCCATTAGATTGTCTTATTCTCTATGTAACATATATATATATATATATATATATATATATATATATATATATATATATATATATATATATATATATATATTCCTATATATTTGAAATCCCGTACTTTACTTTACTGGGTTTTTTTAATTTATTTTATGCCATCTAGACGTTGTCTTGAAAAAATAAACATTCAAAACAGCTTTTAAGTTTCAGTACTACTGCAGATTATATCCTCCGTTAACTCTCTAACACAGCTCTAACCTTTCAGTACTACGGCAGCCTGTGGTTCGCCATCGCCATCATCATCCAGTGTTTCATCTGTGCCCGTACCGTGGGCGACTCGAGCGAGAACCCCGTCAAGGCCCTACACCAGCTGGTCGCTAAGGAGATCTCGGTACAGACCGCTTGCCTGAAGGTCCTCGTGCAGATGGTTGCTGGACTGGCGTCCTACCGCCTCGCCCAGCTCATCTGGTCACTTGACCTCATATCTGACCATCACGAGGTAGGTCAGAAGTTGCTCGCTATGTTTTTATATGTTGTTTTAGTTTTATTGGATAAACCCAATATATAGAAAGGCATTGTTGAAGTTTTAATAATAACGTAAAATGTCCATTAAAACTGTATTTAAAGACATCAAATATTTAATAACGAGCCGGCCCGCGGCATAACATACGCCGCTATTTAGTTGTTTCTAATTTTCAGTAATTCATAATTTGTGAATTCGACAGTACCAACGCTGACACTGAAAATATTTCTTTAAAACACAATAAGTAGCTCGTTAAGGACCATCACCCCCCCCCCCCCTTCCTTCCCCCCCCCCTCCCCCACCCCCCCCCCCCCCCCACCCTACGTTTAAAATCGTTGGCTCTGCTTGTAAACATTTAGAGTGAACACAGCTCACTAAAACCATGTAGGGGTGGGGAGGTAGGGAGCGCGTTTACAGCTTGTTTTCTAGGCGCGTTTGCAGCTTGTTTTCTAGGGGCTCCCAGAAGAGAATTATATATATAGATTTACACTTTTTAAAGGTGTTTTATATTATTGGCTTTTTTTTTTTATTAACGTGCATCACTGCCGTTTCGCTTGTCAGGTCATACCAAAATATTGATGTGTGATTATCTTCCTTTTTTCTTTGTACACATTTTGTTGTGTGTTTATCCTCCAGTTATAAATTATATTGATCAAAAGTATGTGGAGTGATTATCTCCCATGTATATTTGTTCACATTCCGTGCTGTGATTATCTGCCCTATATGTTTGTCAAGATTCTAATGTGTGATTATATCCCTTATATACCTGTTCAAATTATGTGGTGTGATCATCTCCCTATATATCTGTCCAAAGTCTATGTTTCGATTATCTCCCCTGTATATATGTGCTAATTCTATGTTATAGTTATCTCTCATGTATATCTGTGCCAATCAATGGTGCGATGATCTCCCCTGTATATCAATGGTGCGATGATCTCCCCTGTATATCAATGGTGCGATGATCTCCCCTCTTGTCCATAGCGCTACTACGAGACGTCGTGCGAGAGTGACCTCCACGTGACGCTGCTGATGGGGTTCCTGTTGGAGCTGGGGGCTAGCCTGTCCGACACGTGGTTCGGCATGCAGACCGTCTCGGCCACGCCCCTCCTTGATGAGCTGCTCAAATACATCAACGGTGCCACGATGATCACTCTAGGTAAGGCCCTTCTAGTCTGGTTCTCTGTTTACATACGTACAAACATCTGGCTGTTCCCAAATCCCAGTGGCTGTTTCCTGTGGCTGATCCCAGTGGCTGTTCCCATTGTTGTTCCCATTGTTGTTCCCAGCGCCCAATGGAGGCGAGCGAGTTGACGAGATTCCTTCCATAATGTTGTTGACATGGAATAAAAACGTGCTTTTTAGATTTAGACCGTAAAAAAAAAAAAAAAAAAAAAAAACTTAAGCCTAAAATTAATTTAGAAATTTTATATTTTTGAATAAATGCTATAAAAGTTGCAAATCCAGAGAACTTGAAAATAATTTGTTGAGTTTAAGGCTACATTTCTATTTATTTTCATCAAGCCTAAGTTATAACCGGATGTTTCACTTTCGTAAGACAAATATTGATTGGCTGTACAGTAACTTAGTGATCGATAACTATTTGTTTACAAAACTTTGCAGATCAAGTTTTTAAATAACTTTAAAACCCCATGACCTAGTTTTCTATTTTTAGCTTACAGTGTGTACAATAAAATCAATGGCGGCCTATCCAATAGCAGGATGCCATTGTTTATGTCGCCATTACGCGTGAAAACCAAATTGTTTTTGCTTTTTTTTTTAATTTTTATTTAGTTACCGAAAATATTATAAACATCAAATACATCCAATCTTTAGTAAAGTCCGAAAAAAAACAGACAGACAGGATTTTATAACCATATTAATTGTAACTACGCTGTGCATGATTTTTAAATGAATTTATACACCTCTCAAATACCTTTGAGACTTTTCTCGCTGGTGTCCATTCTACTCAGTGTGTTACCACTGGATGTTTAGTGAGCTACTCACCTATCGCTTCCGGTCACTTTGGCCAGGGCAGTGTTTCCATTTCTGGTCAATTTACGACAAAGTCGGTTACATCCCCTTGATTAGTTCTGGACAATGTCGATGACCAATCCTACTGCCCATCTCTACAAGGTCGTTGCCACAACTAGTAAAATAAATTCTAACCAAGATCAATACCTCGACAGAGTTGTCTATATTTGGTACCTGTACTGGTTTGCGGAAGCGTAGCTACGGGGGGGGGGGCGGATGGGTACATATGTCCCCGTGCGCCAACCCTAGGAGCGCGAAAATGGGTTGGAAAAAATTAAAAGCTGATTTTAGCTGCAGTTTTGAATTATAAACATACAAAAATATAAAGGGGGGGGCGCCAAATTAAAAGCTTGTCCCCGGGCGCCGGGAGGGGTCGCTACGCCTATGCTGGTTTGCTTGTTCTTTTCGTGTCTATCCACAGAGTCTTAGTCCAAACTTTAGTAGGTCCATGTTTTGATGTTGTGGCTGTCCATAGGTCATCAGTCCAGGCTTGGTTGTTGTGTCTAAAACGTTGGTACATGTTTTAATGGTCACTTTGTTGGTCAAAGATATAATGTTGTGTCAATCAATACGACTTTGGTCACAGTTATGTTATGTCTATACTACGTTGGTGCTCGTTATAGATTTGTGTCTATTTATTCGACGTTGATCCTAGTTTTAGTGTTTTGTCTATCTATACTAGTTTGATTCAAGCTTTAGTGCTGACATTTTTAAAAAATCTAATTATAACTTGCTCTATCACGTGATCCAGGTGTAACAACAACCGGCATGTACTTCAACCCTGCAATGGCAAGCGGCCACACCGTAGGGTGCCACGGGACTGCATTATGGGAGCACGTGTTTGTTTACTGGGCCGGCCCGTTCATTGGCTGCTTCGTGGCTCTACAGATCAACAAACTCTTCCACATTGACGTCACAGCCTCGGAGACTGACAAGGCGGAGCAGAAAAAACACAAATAAATAGCTTGACGTCACGTGACGTCACTCGACGTTACATAGATACAAGTAGGAATCCTCTGATTAGAAAACAAAATACTGGTACTAGATGTAGATCTGGTTAGAAAAATAATGCATTCGAAGTCGTTTCAAAAGGAAACACAAAAAGTCGAATTTAGCTATACAAATAATGTATGTAAATTTTGCCCTGTAAAATAACCTGATTTCATTCCCTGTGTGTTGTGGTGAAATTGTTATGAATTATTTTCATAGATTTGAATAAATGTTAAAAACATAGACCTAGTTGGTGTTTAGTATGCTGTATAGACATGATGTGTTGTCATCGAATTCTTGTGTTTGATGTGTAGATATGATGTGTTGTCATTGAATTCGTGTGTTTGATGTGTAGACATGATGTGTTGTCATTGAATTCGTGTGTTTGGTGTGTAGACATGATGTGTTGTCATTGAATTCGTGTGTTTGGTGTGTAGATATGATGTGTTGTCATTGAATTCGTGTGTTTGACGTGTAGATGTTCCTATAGTCCATGTTACGACTATGGATGGCAGACGACGCCCACTGACGATGGTCTCTCCATCCACATTCACAGGGTGAATATGATGGATATATAATATACCCATAACCCCAATGTATCCATTTGTATCCATATATGATATAATAGATATACATTGAGTGCTGGAAATGTTAATTTGTTTTTGTTTTCTTCTATTAACCCTAAACGTTAAAAAGAACGTCAATTTTACATTTTGTTCACCTATTCTTTATTTAAATATATTTAAAACTTTGTGATGCAATACAGTATATTTGGCCTATTTGTGTTTCATAGGGTGCACACGACCCTGTACGGTGTAAGGAGAAAAAAGATCCCACTTAAGTTTCTTGTAAAAAGAATATTGATACATAATTGGTGTTTCTGGAGATAGATGGAGACAGTTGTCATAAAATATTGGAGCGCGAGTTGTCTCAACACCGTGTTACCTCCCCTGTGTCGTTCACAGCGCTATTAGCAGACGTCTAGCGAGAGCCATCTTCAAGGGACGCTACTGATGGGTTCCCGCTTTCTTTCGGCCACTCCCCTTCTTGATGAGCTTGTCAAATACATCAACGGCGACACTCTCGCTCATTTCTTGTCGTTTGCTCTTTTATTATAAGCACAGTTAGTGGGAGATCTAAATAGTGGTAGTGAATTTTTAAACTTAGAAATAATAAATACATTGGCAGTACAGTAATTGTTACAGGCAGCGGTAGAGTTATCTTACTAACACAAGGCAATGGTCCAAGTGCGAGATTAGCATTGATTACTTATTTGACTATGTTGATGAGGCGCTGTAAGCTTAACAAATATTTACTTACATTTACTCGAGTTAAATTTCTTTGTAAGGGCACATTATTGTCTTGTTAGTTTGTTACCCAGAATTCAAATATAATTTAAAACACTTGAATAGCTGTCTCTGATTCGAAATAACTTTCAACAAATCGATAGCAATGGCGCTTTTCTCTCCTTTGATATCTGATGAGACACTGTCATGACTATCTCCCTTGAAATATAGCCTACATCTTCAAATAAAACAAATGTTTACAAATTTACAATAAAAATAAGCTTATAAATGCAAAGAAAATAAGAAAATAAAGCAAACTTGCTTTTTTTTTAAAATAAAATAAACCGGGAGTGATCTCCCCTAAACTTTCTCGAATATTCTTATATAAAACAACAGGGGATGGGAACTCGGGCTATAGACATGATTTTTAATCCATTTTAAATACTTAAAGTTTTAAAAATAGAATAAAATATCGTAGACAAAAGAATTGCACACCAAGTGAACGCCAAATAAAAAAGTGCATAATAGTGCGCAATATTATTAGTACTTTAAAAATTTACATTAGTTTTTTGAGAAATCGGAAGTAGCGTAAATTACTACTTCCGGTCAACGGAAATTACTCAAAATTTAACAGAAGGTAGAAAATTAGATCTTTTACTTACATGTGAAATTTCATTTATCTATCTGAAATAGTACTCAAGTTATAGGCTTTTGAAAAATTCAAAGTATAAAAAGTACCACTTCCGGTTATCCGAAATCGCTCAAAAGTTGATACGGATCTACGATTTTGATAAAATACTTATATATGAAATTTCATCAACCTAGCTGTAACGGTACTCAAGTAATCGTGTTTACACACAGACAGACACACAGACAGACAGACACACAGACATACGGACAGAATTGCAAAGCCAAGTTTTTCAGAATGGATTACGCATAAAACCTCTTAATTTTGATAAATCTGGATTGATAATTTTTGCCCGATTAAAATAAGTCCTGTATACTTCGGATGTGATGAAGGACTGAGGTGTAATACGGTGAAAATTGTTAAAATTTCAAGAGATTTTTTTGCACGATTACAATACTTTCTCTATACTTCGTATATACGAGAAAGTAATAATTGGATAAACATGAAATCTCATATGTTTAGGAACCAGTGCATTTATATTTATTAAAGAAAGCAAGTTTGTTTTATTTTCTTATTTACAGTGCATTGAAAACCTTTTGAATGTGTTTTTTTTTCAGTAATTAGTTCTTATTGAAGTTCACGCACATAAAACTAAAAATATTTGCTTTAAACACGACCAGTCGCTGGCGATCTCTAAAAGAGTTATCTTCCCCTTCTCAGTCCATGGTTGTCTCTCAGACTCCTCTTTTATTCTTGAAATTAGTAACCTTTAATTAATTTTAATAAATAATCTAAGACTAATTTATTATTAGAGTATTTAGATATAGACATTCTATCATTATCACTTAAAATATTTACAATTTCAAAAAATTTCGTATTTAAAAACAACAATTTTACATCTTAAAATCATTATCGTGTATGTTACCTTTAAATATATATATGTGTGTATGTGTGTGTGTGTACTTATTTATTTATTTATATATGCCTATATCAGGATCGTCTGTATGCAGAGTTTCTTCCAGGCATCTCTTCGGGGGGGCGAAGCCCCCCCGAAAATTTTTTACCGCCCCCCCGAACGAAATGAAATTTATATAATTTATATAGAAAATATATACTTTTAACAGTGTCCGCCCCCCCGAAGAAAGTTTACCGCCCCCCCGAAGATTTCAAATGCCCCCCCGGAGAAAAAAGTCTGGAAGAAACACTGTCTGTATGCTTCCGTGTGTTTAATTTTTAAAAATAGGCCAATTGCTATCTTTAAACGGTTTTGATAAAAGGAATTGTTATTCCGGTTTACACTTATGATTCGCTTATGTTTTATTATATTTTTATTTTGTGAAATAAGGTACAAATCTTGAAATCCTTACAAGCTTAGAAATATGTGCAAAAAAACAAAAAAAGGCGGGCAGAAGAAAAAAAATAGATTACAGCAGCAGAAAGTGGACGGGAATGGTAAACATGATTGCAGAGAATAGAGAACAGGAATGGAGGAAGATGATCAAAAGGACACTTGTGGAGCACGAACGGTCCACGACTACGGAAAAGATTAATGGAAGTCAAGAGCCATGTTGTATATCAATAGCTCGGTGGTTAAAATGTGACTGACATTGTGACTTAAGATTAAGCAAAAGTGTGTAACAAGAAAAAAAAACGTGACTTCTTACTTAACATCAAAACACACTTATTTGACCCTCTTTCTTAGGGGTCGCCCATAAATGACGTCACACGCATAGGGAGGAGAGGGGGGTCCGAAATTTTGTGACGGTGTGTGGTGAGGGGGAGGGGGGTTCAGATGGTGTGACGTCACACTTTTGCTTTATATCAAAGCAATGTTTGAAAACGAGTTTTAGCCGTTATTTAGCGTTATAGAAAACTGTTTAAATAAATTTTAATAGGAATTGATTAAAATACTCTATGTTGACAGAGTTCAGACAAGATTTTGGAAAATAATCTATGTTTTAAGAAAAATTCAACTGCAATTTTGAGGGGGGGGGGGTTGTAGGCTGAGGTGTTACGTCATTTTAGGGGGTCTGGCTTTTTGTGACGATGTGTGGGTGGAGGAGGTAAAAACCGTTTAAAAAAGCGTGACGTCATTTATGGATGACCCCTTACAAGACAATTTTTACAACTAAAATTTAAGAAATAATATACATCTGGAATTTTAGGCAAAGCATAACAGCCTAGGTTTTATGTGTGTGCGAAAATTCGATGAATGGTTGTTGTGTGTGTTTGTTGTGTAGGCTACACTAATAATGTTGTTTAATGATAATGATGCTGAAGTGGTTGACCTATAATGCCAAATTATAGGTCGACGTTTAAAACGATTCTCTTATTATTGATTATCTTATATCACCAGCTATTTTCCCACGTTTTCTTTAACTTGCTTTCTCTGTTTGTTTGTCTTTCCAATCAAATCTTGCGATCGAAATTTCTGGCACTTCCCAGTTAGCTAGCGCGCTGAAATTTTCAGGGAAGCTTTCTTTTGGATGACCATAGAATATTCAATTGTTATTATTACTAAATTGATCAATGTAAACATTTTATTGAGCATTTTAGACCGCTATATAATCTATATATATAATTCTCCTCTGCGAGCCATTAGAAAAAAAACGAGCGACGCGTAGCTCGCCTCTCTCTTGCCGCGCGCAGTGAAGCGAACGATCCCAGGTCGCGACAGGCTTAGGGGCAGATAATTTAGTTTGAACCGACTTTAAACTTACAGGAGGTAACTATTACCACTGGTGGCCAGTTTGGGGGAGACGATATGGTCGAGTGGTTGGGCACACGATTGCTATCCCACTCGACACGGGTTCAAATCTATGTGTTCTAGTCAGTAACCAGCCCTCGTCCTAACCGCTATCAACTAACCTCTGACAATCATTCACTTGCGATTGAGACCGAAGAAGAAAGGGTCTCTCGTTTTTTACGAGTTGTCTTTTTACGAGTTGTCTTCGTTTACCCAAAAAAAAGTGAAAAGATAAAATCGATAGCAAGATTTTAATGCAAACAAACAGACAAAGACTAAAAAGTAGAAAATAATAATCATTAAAAAAGTTTTAAAAAACCCACGTTTTCTGATTGAACTAAAAAGTAGAAAATAATGCTATACATCACAATAATGCAAGCGATCACTCTACTATAAGCGATCAAAAACGTGGGGCGCCGTGATTTTCTTACAGTTTCTAATACTGTTGACTCTCTACAAGCTCCCTAATAAAAGTCAATAGTATTATCTAATCAATAGTAATATAACTTTTACTTCGGCGCCCCACGTTTTTGATCGCTTATAGTAGAGTGATCGCTTGCATTATTGTGATGTATAGCATTATTTTCTACTTTTTAGTTCAATCAGAAAACGTGGGTTTTTTAAAACTTTTTTAATGATTATTATTTAGCTTTCTGTTTTGTTGTTGCAAAGATATATAAGTTAATGTTAGGCCTTATATTTTAATATTTATATTTTATATTTTCTTAAAATAGTTTTTAATATTTTAAGTATAGGCTGACTACATAAATTATTGTCATTTTCGTTTCAAATTAAAAGAGAAAGATAGTTTATAAATGTTTTCCTCAAACTTCTAGAACTATATGAATAAACTAAGTGATTTTTTAAATTAAAAACAGCAAGTTTTTTTTTTAATTCTGTGTGAGTTTAGCATTCATTTTCGTTGTTTAGCCGAGCCGACGGAAGGCGGACAATTTGAAAACTTCCGCTTACAAAATTCTCAATGAGTTAATTTCGAAAAAAGGTTTGGTTTTGTAATGATCTTTTGATAGTTTAAATCTAGATTCTAATTACTATAAAAATAAGTAGAATATAGATTCAAAAGCTTTCAAAATAATCAAAAATTGTAATCTCTAGATCTAGAGTTAGATCTAGAATCTATTTATTTAATTAGAATCTGCACCAGCAGCAGAAGGTGGTGGTAGGCCGTAGGCGGTGGTAGGCCAGCGAACAGTTCAGTGGTGGTCTTCCTGCTTCAGGCTCCAGCTTTTTCAGCAGGATTCTCACCCCTGTTTTAACAGATTTAGATTTTAGACTAGCAGAAGAAGAGTAGAGGATAGACCGATAGAGATCTGAAAAATAATTACATTTTTTAATGCAGGCTGTAAACTGTAAACAAAACAGCCTCAGACCTCAGACAGTCTCACTCTCAGTCAGTAGCTCTCAACTGCAAAATGTCAACTCAACAGTACACTCAGCAGTCACTAGGGGGTCACACAGTTGTGACACAGATAGATCTACACTACTGTCACTCAATTCTCTTTCCACTCTCACTTCATGTGACTAAAAGTCTATCTAGATCTAGATCTATTCTACAGGACAGAAATCTTTTGTTTTATGACCCATAAAATCATCTGAAGCTAGAATCTAGATCTAGAATCTAGTAAAATGTGAAAAGTAACCCAATAGCTTAAGTTTAGTAATTAGTTTGGTTAGACCTAATTACTTCCAAATATATTAATATTGTGATATAGGTCTAGTTGATATAGGAACTAATATATATTGGACAATCTTTCAATACAGGCCAGAAGAAAACTTTAAAAATTAAACAGCCATGTTTAATTAGATTTGACAAAGGCCCTAGACTTAGACTTTAGACTCTATGGTATAATAATTATAAACTAAACACAGCGTCCATCTGTAAGTTGAGTGGTTTCCACTGAAATTCTGTATACATAGGGAGCAAAAAAAACAATTATTTTTTTGGGAGGGTGTCTATTTTTCTACTTCTGCTGCTGGATACTGTCCTGATTGAGATGATAGTTGAGGTAGTGCCAGGCTCAGGGTAAGAATAGACTAATTGTAAATTACAGGTTACATAAAGGATGGGACAGAGTTGCCTAGCAGTAGAGCACTAGACTACTAACCTAAATAAAAGTTTCAAGTTCAAATCCGGGTTCAAGTCAGTAGAACATCCCTCAGTTCACCCAGCTCTGATGGGTACCTAATAGGAAAGTAAAGGCTGCTGGGCGTAGTGCTGACCACACTATTACCTCAAATGCTGAGGTCACAGAGACAGGTGAACTCTACTTCACTTGCCCCATGGATCGTTAGCTTTGAAAAGAAACTTTACATAATGGAAATTATTGATCAGTTTGTATTTCGGGTATTCAAACATTTGTGTAAGTGTAGCCATAATGATTATTGAATACTCATACATGAAGTCACATCTTAAATACCTCCCATCTTTCAAAAACCTGCTAACAGCATCCTCATTACAATTTGTTGAGATGATTATTATGTTTCAAAATATGTTTATTGAGAAAACAATTATTTGCCTAGCTAAGTTTCGACTGAAAGAAAAGTAGTATTTATTATTCATTTTAGCTTTTTTAAATAAGAGTATAGGCATGTTGTTTTTACTATTGTTTTATTACAGTAGTATGCTGTTACTACCTTATTATTCATTGTAAATAATATTGCATGTTCTTTTAAAAATATGTTACTATCTTTATTTCAGAACTTCATTAATATATGACAATGCAGTCCACACTTTCCTCATTAAAGGATATATTTATTGAAAGTCAAACCTCGAAAAATCCCCACCCACTAATTCAGGCCTTTTGTAAGATTTACCAAGCGGTAGGTTCTCACAAAATATTCACCAAAAGCTTACGTGAACTTAAGTCATTATTGCCATCCTTTATCTTATCAGTGATTGACAAATTACATTTTTTAAATATTTTTTTTTTTATATTGACAGACTCCACTCGATGAGTTTTGGCCTGAATTTCTAAGGCTGTTAAAGCATCCACTTGTTTATGGTAGGGAACCTGCTGTGGAAAAAACAATAGAGTTCATCTCTAAAGCAGTGTGTAATCTAGCCACAAAGACTAGTAAACCAGTAGCAAGTAAAAAGGATGAAAATACAGCAACTAACAATGATTCTGCTGAAGATGATGAAGAAGACATGCATCCTTTATTAATGAAAATTTTTGAATTTTTATTGAGTGTAAGTTTTTCCACAATATGAGCTTTTATTGAATGTAATGGTTTTAACTCATGCTATCATTTAAAAAAATGACATAGTTTTAAATTATACATCTGTATTTTTTATTGAACCCAGGTCCACAGTGCAAAAGAGACAAATATCAGATTTAGAGTTTGTCAGCTAATTGCTCAGCTCTTACAAAATCTCGGAGAAGGGGCACAGATAGATGACTCATTGTATGATGACATTTACAAGTGCATGATAGAGCGCCTGAGGGACAAGAGTCCTCTAGTCAGGGTTCATGCTGTGCTTGCTTTGACAAGATTACAAACCCCAACTGATGATACTTGTCCAATAACTAAGGGTAAGTAACTAAGGCTGTAAATGGAGCCATAAGCCTAAATCTGTCACCTTAAATCCTGCAACTTTCAATACTTTAAGGTGAATGAGGTATAGGAAACATTAATGAAAATGGTGGTCCTTTCAGTTTCTGAAATCTGATTTCTAAGACAAATGCAAATAGTCCAAACAAATACATGTCTCTATATAGCAAAGGTTATTAGTTGTTGTTCTCAAGTTATTTATAATTTATAATTATAATAATTATATTAATTTATAATTTAAATTTGCATCTTAATTTTATTACTAACTTTTACACATTCAATGAACTTATTTTCTATTTACACAGCATACGTTATTTTAATGACGAGGGATCCTAATGATGATGTTAGACGTATCGTTCTGACTTCTATTGCACCATCAAACACATCTTTGCAAGCCATTCTTCAGCGCACCTGTGACGTAAAAGACAAAGTTCGAAGAACTGCTTACACTGTTATTGCAGAGAAAATTCCATTGAGGGCTTTAACAATTGAGCAAAGGATTCAGCTGTTGCAGGATGGATTAAATGACAGATCAGGTATAAACACAATCAGCTTTTTTTGTTTTCTGTAAATGATTAATTTCATTGAGATAACTTTTTATGTATCCCCTGTATTCTTTCTTTAGAGGTTGTTAGAACAGCTTGTTCTAGCAAGCTACTCCAGGCTTGGCTGTGTAGCTGTGAAGGGAATGTACTTGATCTCCTGGCTCGTTTGGATGTTCAGAGTTCAGTAAAGACATGTGAGATGGCGCTAAAGATTCTCTTCAAGAATTCCAGCATACATGATTTAGTACAGAAGTTTGATATCATAAACGACAAGTAAGACTTGTGATACATCACAAATATGTAATTTTTGTATCCTTTGTTAAATTTTTCTGTTTTCATGTAGTTAAACAGCTAATCTTTAAAACAAAATTAATTCATTTCATAATTATTTGTTTTGGACTGCAAATTTACATTATTAAAAAAAAAATAAAAAATTCTGGTCTTTTGAAGATTATTCAGTCATATTTAAATGCATTACACTGTTTTACTTAAGGGTGCTGATTGATGAGGCCAAACTTACATGTGAAAGTGCTTTTTATTGGAGCAACCTGACCAAGTATGTTTATGAAGCTGGTAATGATTATGAGGAGCAACTGGACCAGATACGCCCTAACTGTATCGAATTTTGTGTCTATTTAGAAAGGTGATCATAACATCTGCTAATATTTTTCATCATAAATTTTATTGTATGCAAATCCAGTTTTTAATATTTTTTTTCGACTTGTGTGTTTTTGTATAATAGTGTAACAGAGAGTTGGTATAGAACTACACAAAAAAAAATATTATTTAAAATTTCTAATATATAAAGCTCAGTTCTGTATGTAATGCATTTGTATGTCGTTGGAATTGTACGATTTTAAGTGTTAGAAAAATTATCGTGCGCATTTGTCTAAATTTATGAGCTAAAAAATTACTATTGAAAGTGTTGGGAAATAATTTTCATTTTTCAAATTATAGTAATAATTGTCGGCATGTTCATTAAACACAAGTTTTAAAAAAAATATCATCTTTTACAAAAATTCTAATTATGTCTTTATTTAGTCCTATAGCACGTACTTCCCTTTGATAAATTAGGAAAAACACAATTACTTCCCTTTATAAAACCATTGCATTCCGTGAAAATAATTTACTTTTTAATTACTTTGTTTTTGTGTTGGGAAAAAAAATAATTACATAATTAGCGGGGATTGATCAAGTGCAAATGTTGTAGGTATTTTACGGATAAGCTTGGAGTATTAAAATTGTTTATTAAATTGAAACAGGCGCGTTCGTTTAAGTGAGTGCAAAAGACTGTGAATAAGTTGGGGTACTATAGTCGTTCATTAAGCTAAAACAGGTGATTCCGCCCCGGGCGTTTATGTTCGCGTTAGTGTTTTCTTTGTGTTTAGGTGGGTTTGCGTTAGTGGTTGCGTTTTAATTTGGTTCGTTTTTGTTCTTTCTTTTTTCGTTTTTGTTTGTGTTTTTTTTTGTTTGGGTTTGTATTTGTGTTTTTGGTTGGTTTTGCGTTTGGATTTGGTTTGTTTTCGTTTGCTTTTTTCGTTGATTTTTTTTTTGTTGGTATTGGTGTTTGTGGTTGGGTTTGTTGTTAGGTTTTTGTTTTCGTTTGCTTTTTTGTTTTTTTTTTCTTTGTGTTTGTATTGGTGTTTGTGGGTGTGGTTGTGTTTGTTGTTAAGTTTTTGTTTTCGTTTGTATTTGTAATTGTGTTAGCGTTATGTTTGCGTTTTGTTGTTTTGGTTTTGGTTGGTTGTGGTTTGGGTGGGCAATGCCGGGTTTATGATGATTACTAAACACACAGGTAATGGTCTTTAACAGAAAGGTTTTTCACAGAAGCCAGAGCAGGGCCTGGCCGGGACGGCTAGTAGTCTATAATTGTGGCTAACTAAGCATATTTCTTTTTTTACAGGTTTGCTAAACAAGCTTTAGGGAATTTAGAATCTAAAGACATTGACAAAGTACTAGATTTAGAGTTCATAATTCAACAGCTGTTACAAATGCTTATGTTCATGGATTTGTCTGATCAAGCTAGCAGGTATTTCATACTGTTTTTTTCCATTCAGTATGAGATATTATGTTATTTTTTATTTCAATACTTCTGTCCATGAGCTGTTCATGTTGTGTGTTTATTTCCATACATCTCCTGTTGTTTCGTTTTTATTTTTTTATAATAGAGTAAATAACTTAGCTATAGTTTTGATAATGAACAATCTAAGTATTGAATCTACCAGTGTTTTAATATGCCAACATTCTAATAGTAACCTATAAAGTATTAAATCTTTTACTCCACTCGTCAATAAGTAAGAACAATTTTTATGTAGATAAGTTTGTTGTTTGTTACAGAAAACAAACTGAGAAGCTCTTACACAACCTGCTTGTTTCTGAGAAAGTGGGGCCCTCACTAGCCAAGTACATTCTGCCCTGTCTAAAACAGCTGTTCACTGTCCCTGAAGATTTGGTCAACTTCATTGCTGAGGCTGTTTCTGAAATCAGGGAACCCATAACTACTGTAGAAACACAACTAGCAGCTGAAGAAAGAAGAAACATTGATAAAAAGGTCAGTTTACTTTTAATTTATTTTACTATCAAAGAAATCAAGACAATTTTTTTTCACAGAAATAAAGTTAATAGTTTTTATAGCTTTATATACAGTCCTGTATGTAACAGATAGCTGGCATACGAGTCAAGCTACATCAGCTGAGGGAAGAGCTCTCATTGTGTATTGAGAAACAGGAATTTGAAAGGGCAGCACAGCTTAAATCTGATATTTCAAATTTAGATATGGAAAGATCCTCCATTTTGGAAGCTTCTGAAGCTAAAGTAGAGGAAGTTCGTATCCAAAAGGTTAGTAATAATTCATTCTCTTGAAGTATTGTTTGGAGTCTTTAGTATAGTTTTTGATTAATGTAAAATTATTTTTATTGTATATATGATCAACTCATCTATGCATCCTAATGACCAATAGCATTTCTTCTTTTTAATGTATATTAGTTGAATTTCGGGGTCGGTGTGGTCGAGTCGGTAAAGCTCATGGTTGCTAAACCGAAAAGTCTCGAGTTCGAACCCTCGGGCAGATGAGGCTCGTTAGCTGGGGACAGCCACTCTTCTAGGAGAGACAACTCCAAAATTAAACAACTGCTGCCTTGTAGTTTGTTCTTGGTTGGACAAAGGCTATGGAAGCAAATCCAAAAAGAAAAGCAGGCTGAAATCGAAGTCAATGGCCTCAATGGCGCAAAACCAGTTGACACGTAACGCTTAATTGTGTTGGAGGCGTGGTCGAGTCGGCAAAAAGCTCATGGTTGATACATTCGAACAGTCTCGAGTTCAAACCCACTGGCAGATAAAACACTAATAATTAAGAACGAAGAAGAAGAAGTTGAATTTCATATGGCTGAGAGTGAAATGCAGTTTTAATTTTAATTTACTATATACATTTTTGAATTGTTTATTACATGATAATGATTCACTGAGCTCAAGTATTTACTCATTTGTTACAGAATGATAATTTCACCGTACTGAAATGTTTAACTATTGTTTGTGAGCTGTTAAAAACTATAAAGCTAAAATCCTTGCCTGCGCCCCTTCAAGCCCTGATGGAAAGTCAGGTAACTCTGTTTTAACCATCACTATATATAATACACTAAAAGTTCTGTTAGTAAAATATTTAATACAATTAGATCTAGATGAAAATGACATAGTTTTTTTGTGAAAATATAGTTTTTTTATACTCTAAGTTTGATTTGTTTTATGAGAATTTTGGTTAAAAATAAACTAATGTAAAGTATATTTATTTTTAAGAAATGATGTAAAAAAGTAAACATTAATGTCTAATTTTTAAAAAACCCATTATTTTAACAAGTGAGTGTTTAATTTTTTCTTAGATTTTACCTGGAATGGTAAATGAAGAAGCTGAAATACGAAATGTTGCAGTTCAAGCCATAGGATTATGCTGTCACATTAAAAAGGAGTTGATCATTCAACATTTACCGCTCTTGCTACAGGTATATCTTGTTGAGCTTTACAAAATGTGTAAACAGATAGCTTCAAGTACAGTATAGGAATTTTTCAAATACTATGACAAGTATTTTTTAAGTTTCTAAATTTTTTGGTTGCCTCCCATTGAAGTATACATTTAGATTCCCAAAAGTAAACATGATGATAAATCTCTTCCTGTTGTACTGTTTCAGGCCTCTCAAGTGGACACTCAGCAAGTAAGATCTACAGCTCTCAAGTCTGTTTTTGACATTGTACATGTGTACGGGCTGGATGCCTTTAGTGATGCTGACACCAGCTGTGACCAAAGTGGTGGCAACAACACAGAAGAGGAGTTGAGCAAGTCAATGTCTAGAAACTCAAGGCCAAAATCTGCACAAGAATGCTCAGAGGATAGTAGGCGAGGATGGAGTGAAAGTGCAAGCAAAGTTATTGCTATACTAAGTACAGCACTGGATCTCGAGGTGTTTAATACAACTTCTTTTTTCAAATTTCATCTTTAAATGCAAACTATTTAACTGAAAAAAAATTTCTAATGAACATTTTTGCATGTTTATCTTCACGATTTAGACATCTTAATCTTAAATAGTGAACCAATGTGTTTTCAGAGCTCAGAGCTTCGTAACATAGCAGCAGAGGGTCTAGCCAAGCTGTTGTTGTCAGGGCGTGTTGTATCAGCCAAGCTGTTTTCACATCTGCTGCTGCTCTGGTACAACCCACTCATAGATGAGAACGAGCCTCTGCTGCAGACTCTGGGAATTTTCTTCCCACTGTTTGCTTTTTCTTCCAGGTCAGTCCCTCAAACTAAATGTAAACTTTCTGTTCATTGACAATTCTTTTTAAGTTGATGATAGTCCAACCTATCTAGTGCTTGTGTATTTCTGTTACAGCTTAAATCAAGAACTTATTGAAGAAGCTTTTTTACCAACATTAAAAACTGTGCTGGATGCTCCATCCACATCACCACTAGCAACAGTCAATGCAATAAATGTGGCTAATTTTCTGGTTGAACTAACCAATGCTCAAGAGCTGGTGGAAAATCAAAGCACTAAAACTGTTGTAAAGGTAGGCATCTTTATATAACATGCTCTAGTTATAATAATTAGTTAAAAATTTACATAGAAAAGTTTTAATCTATACTTTATCATTTTTAACTATAATTTTTCGTAACACTTTATGTATATTTTATTTTTTAATTTATGTATTGCTTAAAAAGCTAGTATCAATTATTTTGCTACTACTACTAGATGATGCATATATATTTCTTTTACAAGGAAAATCCTTGTCATGACAGTATTGCTGTAAAATTATGCAATGAAATACTATCTGACCCTGAATCAGATGACACAAAGTTTTGGCTACGTGTGCTCAACAATCTAAATATAAGTTGTGACAACACAAGTCTTTTGAAAAACCTGCGCACTATGTGTGAGGAAATGGCAACAGTAAGTGATTTTTACTTATATATCAATGCAAATAAAATAAAAAGTTATCACAATTTCATTTTTATGCTTTGCTCATGTTGTGTCTTCTGTCAAACAGCATCAATATAAGTTTCTTATTTGACATTTTTTTTATAATGTTTAAAAAATGGAAGTATCAGTAATCCTTAAGTCAACTTGATTAAGATTTTTTTCAAAAACTCAACTTATGAATGAAATTTGTTGTCATCACTATGAGAAATAGCTTTTACTTTTTCTGATTTAGAATCAGGTACTCAGTTGAACAATGTGCACTATGTATTGGAAGATCAATAGAATACATAGAAGTGACTAATCTGTATACACCTATTAAATTTGTATTCTACTAATGGAACTATCTGCGTATTATTTTGCAGCTGATAACAGAAAAGGCTTCATGTAAATATTTAGAGAAATTTGATAGCACCTTGTTTACACTGTTGGGTGGACTGGCAGAATGTAAATCAGATGAAAACATGCAGCAAGAAGTTGGAGATGGTGGAGACACAAAACAAACTTTAAATGTGGAATCAGTAAAGAAGACTAGGGGTAATTCTCATGTTAATGCCAATTTAAAATTCGCCAAAAATTATAACCCTAAATACTCTTTTATAGTTAACAATAGATGATGATTTCAAAGACTGTTACACATCAATTATTAATTTAAAATATTTTTAAATAATAGTTACATTCATAAATATCCTAATAAAGAAAGAGTTTCAGAAATTAAAAATGTGTACATTATGCATATTCATTGTTTAAAATGCTTTTGAACAGCTGAACCACAAGGATGAGCTCCCCTGTTTCTGTGACAGGATTTTATTAAAAATTAAAATCCATTCTTATTCTGTCAACTTTCCCAGTAAATCCCACCGAATGTTTGTGTGGACTTGCCTATATCAGCACTTTGCCAGTTTTTGGCATTTTGTGAACCTGGAGGCTTTAGTTTTAGTCTGTTCCACCCAATAAGCTGTCCCCTAATCAACTGTAAAATGATGAAATCATACATTTTTATAAAAATTTACTTTGCAGGAGAGAAAGCTACCAAAAGTCAGCCAACAGTTAAATCTCAAGTCAAGAAGAAGCCTAAAAAATCTACTAAACAACTTAATACTAGGTAATTTAACAAATTTAAAATATCTAAATATCTGTTTTCTCTCTATTGAACTTCAAGTAGTAAACAACACTGTTTTTGTCACTATTTGCTCTAAACTTGCCATTTTTCTCCCTAGTGAGTTGGATGACAATGTTTTTACCACACCGTGTAGTATAAGAACCCCCAGACCGCCAGTGGATGTTGAAGGGACCAGGGTCAATCTGGAAAATTTGCTCATGGAAAGCTTGGTTAAAACTCCAGCAACAATAGGCAAGACTCCTAAAACCCCAAAAAGGTAACATCTTGCTATTTGTATCTTACTTCAGTTTAATTTTCAATAATTTTTTTTAAAAATGTCATATACATATGTAGGTAAATAAAAGATATTTTTTCTTTTTTCCCCCATAATTCTAGGCCATTGCACAGTATTCAAGACCCAACATTTACAGGCTGAAGTTACTTTCTCCTGTTTCCACATATGCCATATATATTATATATACATTTAGATATCTTAAATGGAGTTGGAGCTAGGTTGGTGACTTTGTAATGCAATGAACAGAAAACATTCTGCTCTCCAGTATGAATGCTTGTACCAATTTTAAATAACTTTTGTTATGTGAGATCATCCAAATACAAAAATATTGTAATCTGTCCATTGTTTTTTAGTCCAGTTTTTTAAATTGCTTCATAAGATGATGCTAATGCATGCTGGTATACAATATACATGTGTAGCATGGGGGGGGGGGGGGGGGGAGGGTCTTAATGTCACAGAGTTCCACTTCCAGGCAGCTGATATTTAAAAAAAATTATAAATGACTAAAGTATTTAATTATGTAAAAATTGTATATAGTAGTTTCTTAAAGAGCCATGTTGGGTTAAAAGCCATTTATATTTCATGCATCTCCAAGATGATTGACCTTATTGTCTGTACAATATTTTTGACCCTGACAACCTATTTACCTAACTGTCAGACACAGTGTGACTTGACTGCTTGACAAGAATATTAACAAGACAGCTTGTAGCCACTTAACGTGTCTAATTGAATGTCTTTGATAAGAGATAATAAATTGATTCAATTCTAATTTTGATGTGTTTTTTTTATTTATTTTATCCATGAATATTTTTCCAAAATAGCTAATAGTATGCTTTGTGTGAAATAAAATAATGCTTCAAGTTAAATAAATGTTGTTAAGAAAATACAGGGTTCGTACGCAGTCTGGAAAGTCTGGAAAAAGTCTTGAATTTAGAAAAGTGAATTTAAGACTTAAAAAAGTCTGTAAAATCGCTAGTTTTTGGGCTGGATTTTTTAAAAGTCTGGAATCCAGTTTTAGAAACAAAACTCCACGAAATCCATATTTTCCAACTTTAAAAATTGCTATTTTTAAGTGAAATTACTCCAATTTTTTTCCCCCGCGCTTGTGCGCGGGTTTACACTGTTGTGACGTTTTTCGCTGGTTCGCAGAAAAAAAAAACGGATGCTCAATTACTACGTCATTGGATGAGGAGGGGAAGGGAGGGAAGAGATATTTCGTGTCGCGAATGACAACGTTACAATTATTTAAATTTGTCATTTAAATTTAATGAAATAATGATAGCCCTCAGAATTGTTAGGCTCTCGATTTTACCCGCTATTTTTCATTAAGTTTGACCGCAGACAGTCATAACAAAAAAATTATGGGGGAGGTGTATGAATGGTAGTTTAGATATAATTTATTTTAAATAGTAAAACATATTTTCATAAGATTTTTTTTAAACAAAAGAAAAAGAGCTTTTTTTTAAACATATTTTTTAAATGGACATATGCATTAGTTGACCTTTCATTCCATCTTGAAACATGGAAGTTGTTAAGTACACCCAGAGAAGGTTTCTGCCATTTTTAAAAAAAATTAAAGAATGATGGTGGTTGTATGCCTGAAGTTCCCCAGTGGCTATCATAGCACCTGGCTGCACTTGAATCAATTGTCACTGCACCAGTGGTGTCGTCTGCTGGCTGCCCATGCAGTCATGTGACCTAGAGCACCCGAAAGAGCACTATGGTGCTATTCATTTATTTTTTAAACTTACTAAATCTAACCCTTAGTGAAATCGGCTTTTTATCCTTTACATCAGTGGTTCCCAAACTTTTTTGAGTGGCGACCCTCTTTAACCGGTAAACGGAAAAAAAGTCACAGGAAAAAAAAACACAGAAAAAAAGTCACAGTTTTTGCTAGGAAAAAAAGGTCACGGAAAAAAAGTCACAATGGAAAAATTTTATCGGAAAAAAAGTCACAGAAATAAAGTCACAGAAAAAAAGTCACACAAATCTTTTTAGAAATACTTTGATTTATTTGTTAAGAATTGTAAAATTGTGTATGTTTATTGTTGTGGGTTGTATTTTTTGATAGCTTAAATTATTTATAGACGTTAAAAGCATTATGGTTTATACAAATTGTAAGTAAAAATACTCTAAGATAATTTACACAACAATCTTAACTTTTGTTACGTATTTAGTTACATACGCGGTAGAAAAGTTAACAATAAAAGAAATTTAGGCACATCATTGTGTTTTGCATAGGTTTTGCCGCAGGCTATTCTATGGTCGGCCTCTCCTCAGTCGGCATTTGTAATAGATTGAGTTAATTGTGAGGTCAAGGGAACTCACTCTTCTGTATTAGTTATATTTATAATATTGTTATCTTGAGTGATGTCCCTTGTGTACTTCCTTCCGTCCTCTCTGTGTGTTTCCATCGTGATGTAGTTAGACCCAATAAATGTGTTATATACAACCACAGGCTTCTGTCGTCAATCTATTATAACTGGCGACGAAGGATAAACATCTACTAGAAAGAGCACCTACTTACGCAAAAAAGAGGTTTGCTAGAGCTTATTAGCTAATTATTTCTAGAATTATGGCGCTGTATGGCCAAATAAAAGAATTTGATGCGAATGATGAAATCATTCAAGATTACCTAGAGAGGTTAAGCTTTTACCTAGAAGCTAACGACGTGACGATAGAAGCCAAAAAGAGAGCTATTTTGTTAACAGTCATAGGGCCTCAACAATTTAGGCTACTAAAAGACTTATGCGCACCAGCTAGTCTAACTACCAAGAGCTTTAACGAGCTGAGCAAATTGCTAACAGACCACCATGCGCCTACCCCATCAAAGTTTTTATGTAGAGCTAGATTTGACAGTAGGACTCGTCAACCAAACGAGTCAATATCAGAATATGTTGCTGCTTTACGTCATTTAAGTAGATTCTGTGAATTTGGAGAAACGCTGTCTGACAGACTATGTGAAAAGTTTGTGACAGGTGTAAACAGCCCTGATATTCAAAGAAAGTTGCTGCTCGAGTCAGATCTAAAATTGGAAAAAGCAATACAACTTGCAACTTCATACCAGCAGTCATCAGATGCGGCGAAATCTCTAACGCCTTCAGGGATCCATGCAGTAAACAGCAGGTTAGTCAATAAACATCAACCCCAACAGAGCATTCCAACTTATGCTAAACACCCTGCTCGTTCAAATCCTAGATCTAAATCTAGTAATAATTATCAAAAATGTCATCGATGCAAAGGTCCCCATGCATCTCATCGGTGCAAGTTCAAGTTAGCAACTTGTTATAAGTGCGGTAAGCAAGGTCACATTGCCAAGGCCTGCTTTGCAAAGTCTTCGTCTGTTGCTAAATCTAGCCAGTCAAGACAGTACCGCAACCAAAAGCAGCACTATGTTAACTCTCACCAAGACTACCTAACCCAACCAATGAACCACTCTACCTGTGAAAATGCTCAAATTGATTCGCAGCCGGATTTCAACCTATTCTCTGTGAAATCAATAAGTCATGCTCCCATCAATGTACCAGTTAATATCAACGGTAAGAGCATCAGCTTCCAACTTGACACTGGAGCATCTCTAACAGTCATAACAAAGAAAGATTTTGACGCTGTCACAGAAGGATCAGTGTCTCTACAGCCGTGTCACAAGTGTCTAACAACATACACTGGTGACAATGTTCCGGTAATAGGAGAGTGTATGGTTCATGTAAGTTATAATGGTCAAAGTGTTAAACTTCCTCTTCTTGTGGTTGAAGGAAATGGACCGCCATTACTAGGTAGGAACTGGTTAAGTGATCTTAAGTTAAATTGGGAGAGTATTTGTTCATTGAAGAATGTAAAAGAATCTAGTCTTACTTCACTAGATAAAGTTATATCTGAAAATAAATGTGTTTTTGGTAACTCTGGATTACTAAATGATAGAACAGTGAAGTTAAGCATTAAAGATACAAATCCAAGATACTGCAAAGCTAGAGTTCCACCTTATGCAATGAGGAATAAAATTGAAAATGAGCTAAGTAGATTGGAATCTAATGGCATCATAAAGAAGGTAGACTATTCCGATTGGGCGACACCCATTGTGCCAGTGTTAAAGAAGGATGGTTCTATAAGAATTTGTGGAGACTACAAAACTACACTGAATAAGCAAATAGAGCTAAATAGGTACCCTATACCTAACATTGAGGAAATTTCTTTGAATTTGGCAGGAGGAGACAAATTCACTGAATTAGACTTTAGTCATGCTTACACTCAACTAGAACTGCATCCAGATTCAAAAGTCTATACGACAATGAACACACATAAAGGACTCTACCAATATGAAAGACTATGTTTTGGCATATCATCTAGCCCTGGAATTTTCCAAGCTGTCATGGACAGTATTTTTAAGGACATTCCAAATGTTTGTGTGTACTTTGACAATGTGTACATAACTGGTAAGAATGACACTGAACATCTTAAAACACTTGATAAAGTATTGAAAATTGTTGGTGAAAAAGGTTTAAAGATAAACAAAGATAAATGTCAATTCATGCTGACAGAAATTAGTTTTCTTGGTTATATATTGAGCAAACAAGGCATCAGACCTCAACCTGAGAAAACAAAAGCCATTAAAGAAGCACCCAAACCTGAAAATACCCAACAACTAAGAGCTTTTTTGGGCTTGATAAATTACTATGCAAAGTTCATAGGGAATCTGTCTGGTAAACTATCACCACTGTACAAGCTGCTACAGAAAAATGCAACTTGGCACTGGGGTAAACAACAAGAAGCTGCTTTTAACACAGCAAAAGAGGCTTTGTCTTCTGACACCTTACTAACTCACTATGACCCAGGGAAAAGACTTATATTAACATGTGATGCTTCACCAGATGGTGTAGGAGCAGTCTTGTCCCACATGGATGAGAAGGGTGACAGACCCATTGCTTTTGCCAGTAGATCTTTGAATCAGGCTGAGAAAAATTATTCTCAGTTAGATAGGGAAGGCTTAGGCATCATTTTTGGTGTTAAGAAATTTCATAAGTTTCTGTTTGGTAGGAAGTTCACCATCTTTACAGATCATAAACCATTGCTAGGTTTATTTGGAGAAAACAAAACCCTACCTGAGCATGCCTCACCAAGAATTCAAAGATGGGCTATCACACTAACTGCATACAATTATGAATTGAAATACAAACCTGGATCTGAGAATAGTGCAGATAGTCTTAGTAGATTACCTTTAAAAAACCAAAGCCTGAGCTATGTACCAGAAGATGTATTTGTTCTCTTCACTATCATGGATAACTCCAATATAAATGTGAATGATATTAAAAGAGAAACACAAAAAGATAAGTGCTTAATAAAAGTATATGAGTACTGTAAGAATGGTTGGCCTGAAGAGTCTGTGAATGATGACTTAAGGCCATATTAAATAAGAAATAAAAACCTTTGTGAAGATAATATAAAAGATGGAGAAGATGCAGACCATTATCAGTCAGAGTTGCCTAAACAAAGTATTTGTAACTTAATAAATGATTATGGTGATATGGCAATTTCAAATGTTTTAAAGAAAATACATTAGTAAGAAAGAATGTGATCATCAAACAACTTTGCTAACATCATTAGCACTTACAGAAACTAAAAGGGTAACATCAAAAGAAGAAAAAGATTTTTGCCATTTAATACACCCACTTCAAATACTGGATCACAGTTGCAAAGTGATATGGTCCAGAATATTACTCATAAACAGTATTTTTGGTTACCAAAAAGCACTATCAGATTACATGAGGAAATTGATCAATCAAAGAAATCTATGTCAGTTAAGGATCTGAATAACAGCATAATACTTTCAGATGCCAATTCAAAAATAGTTCCATTAAATCATGACAAACATTCATTGAAGGAGAATTTGGTGTTAATAAGAATGTGTATCTAAGAAATTATGGGAGAAAGGAAAAATGGATACCAGGTCAAATTGTTCAATGTACAGGACCTGTGTCTTATAAAGTTAAAAATAACTTGTGCAGATAATAAGTGTGAATCTGTCAATCCCACCAAATCTGATCAGTTCACACCAACTCAGTTTGTTCCACAACCAAATTCTGTTGATATGAGTGAACCAAGTTGTCTGGAGTCAGAAAATGTAAATTCTGGAGTTAATGATTTAAATCCTAGACCTCCTGAGATAGAGAATCCAGATGGTCAGAATCTTGAGTCACCAAATCAGAAGCCACTGAGAAGGTCAAGCAGGACAATCAAAGTCCCAAATAAGTTAGACCTATGATTTTAAAGGTCAAAAGGACTTTGACATCATTGTTTTGTATCTTGATTATGTTGTGGCATATTGTGCATTGTTTGTAAGGATGTAATCTACCATAGTGTTCATGTTACAATATAATTGGTGATTTTAGGATACTATCAATTGTTCTATTGAGAGATGTGTTATTGTGTTCTAAGGGTAAAGGGATGTAATAGATTGAGTTAATTGTGAGGTCAAGGGAACTCACTCTTCTGTATTAGTTATATTTATAATATTGTTATCTTGAGTGATGTCCCTTGTGTACTTCCTTCCGTCCTCTCTGTGTGTTTCCATCGTGATGTAGTTAGACCCAATAAATGTGTTATATACAACCACAGGCTTCTGTCGTCAATCTATTATAGCATTGTCCGAACATATTTTGTGTTGTTGACGTTATGCGTCAATGCCAGCCTTTGAACCTTGTCGGCTTTCTGATTTGATCCTAAGTTTTGTTATGTAATGAGCGTGATAAATGTGGGCAGTAAAGGTGGTTGAACTAAGCATAACTATTGTTGCGATGAGTTGAGGGCAGTAATTCAGATGACCTTACCATTTCACGGTAATTTAATAAAAAAAAAAAACACGATGAAAACCGTGGACATTCTATTAAATGCTATAAATATTATGTTTAACATAATTACAATCTACAAAATTCATACTAAATATTTTTAGATGAATTATAAAAATTACTATACGTATACAACCTACACACATTACATTACATTTAATTAATCCTAAGTTAATTTGCACTCTCTGAATATTTAATACATAAAAGTATTAACAAATCCCATGCAAATATATATTTGTGACTTTTTTTCTGTGTTTTTACTTTCTCGTATATACGAAGTATAGAGAAAGTCTTGTAATCGTGCAAAAAAAAAAAATCGAGATTTTTGCAAATCTCGACGTTTTGCATCTCACTGATACGGAAAAACATAATTTTGCAATCTTGTCCGTATGTCTGTGTGTCTGTGTGTGTGTCTGTGTGTGTGTGTGTCCGTGTGTAAACACGATAACTTGAGTACCGTTACAGCTAGGTTGATGAAATTTCATATATAAGTATTTTATCAAAATCGTAGATCCGTATCAACTTTTGAGCGATTTCCGATAACCGGAAGTGGTACTTTTCCTACTTTGAATTTTTCAAAAGCCTATAACTTGAGTACTATTTCAGATAGATAAATGAAATTTCATACGTAAGTAAAAGATCTAATTCTCTACCTTCTATTAAATTTTGAGTCATTTCCGTTGACTGGAAGTAGTACTTTACGCTACTTCCGATTTCTCAAAAAACTAATGTAAATTTTAAAAGTAATAATAATATTGCGCACTATTATGCGCTTTTTTATTTCGCGTTCACTTGGTGTGCAATTAATTTGTCTACGAGATTTTATTCTATTTTTAAAACTTTAAGTATTTAAAATGGATTAAAAATCATGTCTATAGCCCGAGTTCCCATCCCCTGTTATTTTATATAAGAATATTCGAGAAAGTTTAGGGGAGATCACTCCCGGTTTATTTTTTCCTGTGTTTTTTTTTTTCCTGTGACTTTTTTTCCTACAATCCTTTAACCATGCCTTAGACCCATCGGGGGAACAATACTTTTTATTCGTTTGTTTTGGGGTTGGAAAAAAACAATTATTTAATTAGCATGGATTGATAAAGTGCAACGTGGTAGGTAAAACAGTGGTATTTTAAATACTACCGTTTGTTTATTTTATACACTGAATGTATTGTTTTCTAATTATTATGTTTGATCAATAACAGTTTAGAAACCGTTCCTAAATGTCCTCTATATTAACTTTTATCTTTACGTTTGCGGATAAGATTGAGTACTATAGTTCACTAAAATGAGTCAGACGCGGAACTTTCCGGCACCCCGGAAAGGTATGATTTAAATTAAATGAGTGCAATAGTTTAAGGATAAGTTGGGGTAAGTTAAATCAGTCGGGTCCGCCGGCAGGGTGCGATTTTGCGCCCCAAGCTATACTGTGTTTATATTTGCATTTAAGTTTGTGTTTATGTTCTGCGTTATTGTATGCCTTTAGGTTTGCTTTTGTGTTTGCGTTTTTGTATGTGTTTACGTTAGTGTTTGTTTTTGTGTTTGCGATACGTTCTAGTTACTATTTTCGTTTTTGTTTGGGTTTTTTTTTTTGGTTGGTTGTGGTTAGGGTTAATTCGAAAAGTAATATATTTCCTAAACCTGTCAATGCCGCGTATGTAATGCTTACTAAACACACAGGCAATAGTCCTTTACACTTACAGATAAGTTTTTTTCCACAGAGGCCAGTGCAGGGCATGGCCGGCTAGTATTATTATTATAAAGGCCAATATAAAAATGTAATGCAAAGTCTAGTAGCAGTCTAATTTCTTAACTTCGACTGTGTATGATTCAGTAATGCAGTTCAAAATGAGCTATTTCTTTTAAAAATATTTTTAACTCCTCGTCGATTTTTAGTTTATATTTAGATCTATTTTAAATGTTATTTTCTTTATCGATTTTTTGGAGTTCAAAATTTAGGGGGAAGAATCTAAGAAGAATGTCAACAACTTTAGTGAATTGTGGGAAATGGGACGGGTCAATGTGTAATGAGGTGACGTCATATTACCCATAAGACTTGAGAAATGGCTGCTCATGGCAATTAGTAAATCTTGATGTCTGGATACGTTCATATGTATTTATTATATACTAATTGCCATTATTGAGGTATTCTTGTCCAAATTCTTAATCATTTTCCTATAATACCTTACGCTGTAATATCTAGACTTATTTGGTTGCTCTAGCAGTAACGTAAACTTAATTTGAAAGGACAGTTCAGAATGGCGAGAATGTCGTTTTTTTTCTCTCTTAAAAAAATAAAAATAAATAAACGACTGGAAGATTTCCTACCTAGATCTACATAATCTCTAGATCTAGGTATCTAGATTATTAAAAAAAAACCGCAAAAGCTTGTTGTTTAGTTTTAATTATCAAGGTTTTAGGTTAGATCCATATCTGTCTAAAAATAACGATAATCTCCACACGTAGCTTGATCTTCTCTGCTCTCGCAGCCAAGCCTTGCTTCCTCAGACCAGAAAAACCTGTTTTTTTCTTTTTAAGAAATTAGATTTATTAGGCCTAACATTGGTAAATTTATTTAATAATATGTATTTTATTCATTAACATTTAGGCTACAACATATCTAACCTACTTACTTACTACCTTGTCACTCTCAATAAATCATAATCATAGGTCAGGAGGAAGCACATCATTAAACCACTTTAACCAGAGAAGAGACTCAAGCAAAGCTAGAGACTAGCTAGAGTAGAGTAGTAGATAAGTAGAGTTAAGTAGAACCTACACACACCTACACCATAATAATATTTATATTTGGTTGACTAGAGATGTTAAAAAATAATTCCTTAGTCAAATTATTAGTGGAACTGAAGTCCAATAAGAGACATTCTCAAAAATAGATGTTTTAGGTTGTTAGTATAATAATATAATAGTAGTATTGTAATCTCAACTAGTTTTATGGTTAGAAATTAGGGTTTAGGCCTGATTATGGTTAAGGTTAACATTGACATTAGGAAACCACATGAGTATTTAATTAACTACCAGTAATCTAACACTCCTTTTGTAAGAAGATTCTATTATCAGACGCTTGTATAAAAAACATTCACCCCTTAATAAAGCTGTTGAATTACCAAAATATTAAGTAATAGCCCACACTTAATCCTGTGACTTAAACTGTAGGCTATATACTCATAACCTTACTCTTAAACCTTTCCCTAAAACTAAACTGATCTATATTTAATTAAATCTACAATAGTTTACAACCCCTTTATCACTTTATCATTCTCTAATTATGATACATTATAACAAGGCATGTATATAAGCCTTTTGCTGCTGGAGTTTAAAATTGTTTTTGCATTTAAACTCATAGAAGAAAGAAAAAATAATCATAGTGTAAACACAAAACACTGTGTGTGGTATGTGGCCTGACCAATTTGAATGAGATTGTTTAGTTTACATTGTTTTGAGATTATACTTAACTCAATGCAACAAGCCTGCCTGTTGGTTGAGGCCACCACTAGGGTTAGTTCTGCTATGTTTATACAAAGGTTCGACTCAAAATATCAACCAAACATTTTAATTCCTAGTTTAAAAATTATAAACTTTAATATTATAGCCAAAATGATGAATGTAAAATCTTAATAGGGTAGATAACCATTTTTTGGTTGTTGCAATCACCTTCTAAGGTATTATATTTATAAAAAGCTTATCCATCAGGTTTGGTTTATAAAAGCTAGTTGATTAAACAGCTATTTATGTCTATGCTTTTATAACTGATTCCCAATGTTATTATGTCTCGAATGGCAGTTTATATGAAAAGTTACTAAGCAAGTTGCAGCCATGGCAGATGTTAGCGAATGCAGCATCAAGGTTATATGTCGTGTGAGACCTCTAAATGAATCTGAAGAAAGAGCTGGCAGCAAGTTTGTGCTGAAATTTCCAACAGATGAATCTATTAGTATTGGTGTATGTTTAACACTTTTTTATTAAAGTATTATGATTGCTATAAAAACATATTTGTATTACCAAAGTATTAAGTTTTACAAAAATAGTAGGCTATGGTTGGCTATTTTTATTTAAAAGTATTTTGACAGATATTTACTCTATAAATAATGACTATTCTCAATAAATTATTAAAAAAAAATATATACATATATATAAATTAAGTTTTTATTAATAATGAACATTAAGCATTGTTACATATTTTTTTTTCAGGGAAAATTGTTTGTCTTTGACAAAATCATAAAGCCTAATGTTACTCAAGAATATGTTTATAATGTCACAGCCAAGCCTATTGTTGCAGGTCGGTAAAAGTGATCCAGATTAATGTTTCAGGCTAGCTGCAGCTATATATTTTTTATATTAGTTTTGCTAATATTTTTTCACAACTATATTCTTATATTTAACACATATAAACTTGTAGCATAGTGTTACAGATATTATCATCATACAATTTAAATATCTTAAACCTGATTGAAATAAGATAGTTTGACAAAGATGTTTCATATTTTATTGATTTACCTTTTCCTTAAATCCAACCATCTGTTGCACAACATTCAGCATTTGTTGTTTGTTTATTGATTATCTAAAAATGTTCACAATATGGAAAATTTAGTGTACAGGACAATATCATTTTTTCTTCATTAGAGCATTTATAAAGTAAATAGTTTAAGTTAAACATAATATTATACTCACACAAAGACATACATACTATACTAAATATATAAACACACACCCCTTTCCACATACCATCCCGCCCACACCCATACATTATACACACACACACACACACATATATATTTATATATATATATTTATATATATATATATATGCATTCATTCACACAACTATAAATATTAACTAATAATTTCAGATGTGCTCAGTGGCTACAATGGCACAATATTTGCATATGGTCAAACATCCAGTGGTAAAACTCACACAATGGAGGTTAGAAAATTGCCCTGACATATATGCATTTAAAAAAAAGATAGTTTTTTACTCAGTATTTTACCCTCAATATTCTAACAAAAAGAAATACAAAATATTATATTTAGATGAAAAATCAGGCTACAAACTGTAGTTTGCAACATTAAAAAAATGTTAATGTTAAATTTGTTTACTTGTTTTTAGTTTTTTTTTTCATCTTGAATATTGTTTACTGTTATGAAGAACTTTTTAGCAATTTATTTTAATCATTCTCTCAGAAAAATATAAAATGTATATTTCCTTTAAAAAAATTACAGGGTGTTATGGGGAGTGAGACTCTACAAGGCATCATTCCTAGAATTGTCCAGGATATTTTTAACTACATCTATGGCATGGATGAAAATTTGGAATTCCATATCAAAGTGAGTTTAATTTGTATTGAATTATTTTGGGAATTTAAATGGTATATGTATTTGAAATCAGTTTGAACCTGTAAAATAATTTTATTAATGTATTGTTTTTTTTTATTTATTTTTTATTCAGGTTTCTTACTTTGAAATTTACATGGATAAAATTAGAGATCTGCTTGATGGTGAGCAAAATTTTTTTATTGTTTGGATATTGCTGTATTAATTTATTACAATTGACTGTACTACTGACAGTTTGCAACATGTAGTAAATATGTTTTGAAAGTTACCAGTATAATGAATATTGTGAGACCTTATTTTTATTATACTCTAGTTTATCTCCCCTACCTTGTCCCTTAAATATTAACTCATTATCATAAACTATACAAACATTGTGAGTTGCCTTATATTGTTGATAATTAATTAAAATGCTTCATTCTAGTCACCAAAACAAACTTGTCAGTTCATGAGGATAAAAACAGGGTTCCTTATGTAAAGGTATGGTATTTTTTGTGTGTTCATCTTTCTATATTTTAAATAAAGACCATTTCATTTCAACATAAATAAAAACCATTTACTTCTTTAGACTACACATAACTTGTAGTAACACAAGCTGTCTTTAAAAATATAATCACTAAAGTTGTGTTAAAAGCTACTTAGTACAGTGTCCATCTTATTTCCTTCCAGCATCATTATTTGTAAATGAACATACTACATCCATCTAGAAACTCAATTTAAGTAACTTAAACTGCTTTTATATTTGCTGTAAAATGATTATTACTTTTAAATTTTTCTTTTAACACTGGTAAGATATGGTTCATGCACATTTGTCTTTTCTTCCTGTGTAAAACAAAAATGTCGTTTCAATTATCACCTAGCAGCCTTCATCTTTTAAATTTGTGCAGTTAAATGATAGTCTTTTCATCATATTTAATTAATTGTTATCTTTCAGGGATGTACTGAAAGATTTGTTTCAAGTCCCGAAGAGGTTATGGATGTTATTGAAGAAGGAAAATCCAATAGGCATGTTGCAGTCACAAGTGAGTTCTTTTGCTATTTAAAAGTTACTTAATTGCAAGTTAAAATTGTTGTGACTACAGTTTTTATAATTAAAAAAAATATTTCTTGCTGTTTTTATTCAATCAATCAAAGTTGTTTTGAAAGAACAAAACATCAGCTTGAAACGCTTTAAAATGCTTTTTAATATATATTTAGACATGAACGAACACAGTTCTAGGAGCCACAGTGTTTTTCTAATACATGTGAAGCAGGAAAATGTAGAAAATGAAAAAAAACTACATGGAAAATTGTATCTCGTTGATTTGGCTGGCAGTGAAAAGGTAAACTGAATGATTTATTTTGAGTTTTTAAATTGGTTATTATGGTGTTCACTTAGTTGAAGTAAGCACACAGCTGAACTATTTTCCAAATGCTAAAATCTTAGCTAGTGCCTAGTGGTTAATGACTATAACAGCAAAGTTTCAGGAGAATTTACCCTGAGAAATGTCCAAAGTTTTAAAGAGTATCTTACCCTTTGAAACATAGTAATATGTTCAAATACTTTGTGATCTAGATCATGTAAATTTTGGCTGTATTATAAAATTTGTTTTTCCAGGTTATAGATTCATTAGATCTGATCATGCTCCTTTATATCTCTTTCTTTTCTAACCTCTTTGGTGTCATCTTATGCACTTTAATATGGTGTAGGCCAGCTGAACATTGCGAACCTAGCTTTTATACCTATTTCTACCTACTACTCAAAACTAGCTACTGTTATCAAATGTTGGTTAATTTGATGTTTGACAGGTGAGTAAAACTGGAGCTGAAGGTTCAGTCTTGGATGAAGCAAAAAATATAAACAAATCATTGTCTGCCCTAGGAAATGTAATTGCTGCACTCGCTGATGGAAATGTAAGTTATTATTTATCTGCTAATATTATTTTGTGTAAATTCAGAGGCTGTTTATTTCATTAAATAATTAATGTAAATAGAAATACATAATGTTTAATTGAATTTCTTTTTCCTACTTTTGTATTATAGAAATCTCATGTCCCATATCGAGATAGTAAATTGACTAGAATATTGCAAGAAAGTTTGGGTGGTAATGCACGCACTACTATGGTTATCTGCTGTTCTCCTGCATCTTACAATGAAGGAGAAACCAAATCAACCCTCATGTTTGGACAAAGGTAAACAACAGTTAATATTTTAGACAAAATTGTAATTATAGACAGCAAAAAATTAGAACAAGCTTATAATAAAGATAAATATTTTTATATCAGAGCAAAGACGATCAAGAACGTTGTCAGTGTTAATGAGGAGTTGACTGCTGAAGAATGGAAGAGACGATATGAGCGTGAAAAAGAAAAGAACAATAAGATGAAACTGATCATATTGAAACTTGAGGCAGAGTTACAGTCTTGGAGAAATGGCAAGTAGTTTGCTACAAAATTTCCTCTGTTGGCCTAAATTAGTTACATTAAATTTTAATGACCAATATTTTACATGTAGGTAAAGCAGTCCCAGTGGAGGAGCAGGTTGATGTAAAAACAGTTGCAATGGAAGCTGAACCTGGTGCACCAGGACAAGTTGCTTTAGACCAGGCTGCTATGCAATCCAGTTTTATTGGCCTTGTCAGTGGGGGAGTGAGTGCCATTCCAGAAGCTGAAAAAGCACAGCTGGAAGAGGAAAAAATGAAACTTTATCAACAGCTTGATGATAAGGTAACTTGCTAACCTCTATGAATGTTTTAAGAGAGGATCAACTGACTTCATTTTTTTTCACAATTTCTTCAAAGCTTTGTTAGTCTACTCAATTGTTAAGGTTTTTTCTTCAAAAATTGCTTTCTTTCTTTTACATTATGACTAAATAAATAAAATGATCTTTTGTTTTTGTTACATTTATATTTAGCCAGAGTTTAAATGGTTACACATTTTTTTAAAGGATGATGAGATTAACAGCCAAGGTCAGCTAATTGAGAAGCTCAGAGAGCAAATGTTGGAGCAGGAAGAGCTTATTGCCAACTCAAGACGAGACTATGAGAGTTCACAAGCAGAAATGGCTCGTATACAGGCTGATAATGAATCTGCTAAAGAAGAAGTGAAAGAAGTTCTCCAAGCTCTTGAAGAACTAGCCATGAATTATGATCAGAAATCTCAAGAAGTTGAAAACAAAAACAGAGACATTGAAACCCTAACTGAAGAAATCAACCAGAAATCAGTGAGTTTTTTTTTAAATTGTCTTTGTTTTAGCATAAAATAAATTGAGTACTAAAGAAGCCTTTTGAAATTCTAACTTTCAGGTGAAGATCAGTAGCTTACAAGCTGAATTTGAATCAATCCGTGACTCATCAACCCATCAGAAAAAGAGAGTTGTGGAAATGATGTCTAGCCTTCTCAAAGACCTTGGAGACATAGGGGCTGTAATAGGAGGAAATGCTGCTGAAAATAAGGTTCTTACATTTATTCAGAAAAACAACCAGTTTTTGTGTGTTGAAAACATATTTAGAAAGAGTAACATATGATCAAATTTCATAAATATAGTTACATGCTATTTTATGTACTTGATGTATTACTATTGAATGCTAAAACATTGCTTAAATTTATCATTTACCAGCCAAACAGTGGAGCAGGGGAGAAACTTGAAGAAGAATTTACAGTGGCTCGTTTATACATCAGTAAAATGAAATCTGAAGTGAAAACTCTAGCTAATCGCGCCACAAACCTGGAGGCCGCCCAAGTAGATAGTCATAAGAAGCTAGAAGATGCAAGTTCTGAATTATCTGAATGCCAGCTTAAAATTCAACAGGTATATCCATGATTTATTTATAAAATTTGCTGTGCATAATTTTTTATGTTCCCATTTATTATCTTTTGAGTTTGTTAAAAATTGGAATACAAATCAATAATGATTGTTTTCATTTCTAAGGCTGTTTATAAGTAATTATAGTTTTTTTTTTCTCACATTTGCTTAACTGGAGTAAAACTTATTTCTTTTAAGTATGAAGCTAAGATGGCGACTCTAAGTGAGACCATCAAAGATGTAGAGCACAAAAGACGTCAGTTGGAGGAAAATGTTGATTCTCTTAGTGAAGAAGTTGCAAGATATAAAGCAAGTGGTGAGTAGATTTCTTGTTCAAAGTTTTGTTAACATAAGAATAATTAAACAATTTAAATTTATTTATATTTTTTGGATTAAGTAATTGTTGACATTGTATATAAATTTATTTATCCACAACTTTTTTCTTCAGAAACAATGCATGCGACAGTTACTCAGAAAGTTCAAGAAACTTCAGACAAACTCCAGTCTGAGATTGAAATGAAAGAAGCCTTAGAAAAACAAATGCAGAGTCACCGCGAGCAACACCAGAAGCAACTTTCAAGCTTGAGAGAAGAAATCTCTGACAAACAAAACATTATTGATGAACTGAAAGAGTAAGTTTTCTCATATTTTTCTAGAGATTTTGAATTTTAAAAAGTTATCTTTATATTTTTTATTTAGTTGTCATTTCGTAAGTAAAGCTTTGTGGAGCACAAAGGTCATTGAATGCAAATGCCATGTGTGCCATTTTTTAAAATATAAATTTTCCATCTAATTTATATTTATATTTTTTTTATAGGACCAACCAGAAATTGACACTAGCATTGGACAAAATGCAGAAAGACTATGAAGCTTTGAAGTCTGAAGAAGCTGAAAAGACTAGTCGCTTGTCTGAACTTACTCTTCAAATGGACAAACGAGAACAAGCTAAAGAAGATCTTAAAGGATTGGAAGAAACTGTTGCAAAGGAATTACAAACACTACACAACTTACGGAAACTATTTGTCCAAGATTTGCAAAACCGAGTTAAAAAAGTGAGCCAAGTATCTTTAAATAGAGTGGTAATGTTAGGTATTTGATGTTTTTGCATTGTGCAACCTTGTGTTCAAAGTTGTTTTTATGGACAATTTTCTTTGCAAAGTTTTCTTTTAATATGTAGGAAGGGAAGGTATACTTTTAACATTTATATTAAGTTTACCTATGTTAAATTATTTTTATTGTTCAAATCCGTGAATATTTTACAGGCTGCCAACAAAAAAGAGGAAGAAGAAGATGAAGAAGCTGGTGGAAACGTAGCTCAGAAACAAAAGATTTCATTTTTGGAGAACAACTTGGAGCAGCTCACTAAAGTGCACAAACAGGTTGAGGCTAAAACTATTTTTTCAAACATAATTTTAAAATTGTTTAATGGAACTGTTATTTAACTTAATTAAAAAAAATTATTCCTGTGCATTTTAGCTTGTACGTGATAACGCTGATTTGCGTTGTGAACTACCAAAGCTTGAAAAGAGATTAAGAGCTACTATGGATAGGGTTAAATCACTGGAAACAGCTTTAAAGGAGGCAAAGGAGGGTGCTATGCGAGATAGAAAGAGGTCAGTAGAGGTGGTTTCTATTAAAAGAAAAAGACTTTGGTAAATTGCATATTGTTTACTGAACTCATTTGCATGAAAACATTTCTTTTTAACAATTTTTGCATTGCCCATCTGTATGCTGAAGTTTTTAAAAAGGCCGTCATATTGGTTACAAATGAAATGTTAAGGAAAGGTATCACCCTATATTTCTGTTCCCCACTATTTCTGTTTCGCTGTTACAGAAATCCTAATGATATAACGTAAGTAATGTTTAAAAAACAAAGAAACTTCATGAAGTCTTTTTCTTAAAAAAGAACTAAAAAATCTAGGTGTATGGCTTTATAACAAATTGTAATTTGATTGGCTAAATTAGTCACAGCTATACAGTGTGTTTAAAGAGTGATAACTAGCTAGCAAGCTTATTAGGCATTTACTTCATGGCTTATCAGCTTATTAATATTCCAGAAAAATACATTTAAATACTTTTTTATAACTTTTTTCTTGTAAAATTAGTGTTTATATTCAGGGTAGGAAATACCTTACCTACAGAAAAAAAGCAGTACAAATTTGAGTGTTTTAACTATCACTATAACCTATAGAATGAAGTTTTCAAAATACTTTATCAAGGAAGTTGTAAAGTTCTACACAGCTTAAAAAATTCCCAATACATTGTTACACCCCATATCATCATATCTAGAACTCATGGAACCAACCATGATTTCTCAACATCGGCAAGTGATAGTTCTTTCATTAGACAGTCTGAGGATTTCAAAGAAAACCAAGAACCCACACATTTATCAAATACTATCTTCCAATACAAGAAAGAAGGAAGTTGCTTAAACCAGTAAGTTAAGATGTTGACAGTTTCAGCTCGTCAACTCCAAATGCAAATCCATAACATGTACACAACATTTTACAATAGTCATTATCATTAAAAATAGCTGCACATACATTTCAAGTTGAAATGAATAACTGTCAAATTGTGTTTTGACTTTGAAATGAACATTTCAATTGGTAATGTGATTGAATTAAATTACAGCATAATAGACTATAAAATCCACAATTTCAACTGTACTGCTTTTTATACTGATCTACCCTGTTAGTTGGCCCCTTCCCATGAGTGTTGAAGTTATTATCGGTCACTTCATAATTTTGTATAAATTTATAATTGCTACCTTACTTTAATTTTACCTAACAGTTTTAAAGATTTAAAAAATATGCATGCTTTTGTGAAACTTCAGTATATACATGGTTTGCAAAAAGTGTGCTTTTTTATTTTACGTTTTTCTTTTAATTTTATTGTATAATATTATTGTAACAAGATATTCCCACATGCTGAGCAGCCTTTATATATTTTCATCATTATAAAAATAGTCTTTGTGGATTTGTCTTTGGTGTGTATATTATGCTAAACTTTTTTCTTCAATAATAGGCTTACTCAGTTATTCACTTCAACTCAACTTAATCTCTCTTTATCATTAGCTGGATTTTTTTTTTCATATATAATATTTTACCTTATCTTTTTAATAGTATTTTTATCTTCTCATAACTTACTAATGTAAATTGAAAATGCTTACTTGTTTTAATATATAATATATTGCTTACTGAAAATAAGATCTAAGCCAATGTTTTGTGTTAGTATGTTTGCAACACCAGCAACAATTAGTGAACAAGACATGCAAATTATTTTGTTCTTAGATACCAGATGGAGGTGGATAGGATTAAGGAAGCTGTCAGGCAAAGAAACCTGGCCCGTAGAGGTCACGCTCCACAAATAGGTAAATACCATTGTAATATCTTGTGTTAAGGTTCAAAGCCTGTTATGTGTGCTTGTGAGATGATTCTTAGCTGAAAACCACCTGAGTTTATCCATGCAATATTGATGTGTCTACAGCCAAACCAATCAGACCTGGACAGCACCCAGGAGGTCAGACTCCTCAAAGTACAGGCATTAGGGGAGGTGGTGGCATCCCAATTAATGGACCAGCAGCTGTCAAAGACTTTGCATAAGTAATTGTTTTTTTCACTATTAATTTTCACTCTAGTTTGTTAACCAAGCTTCTTTAGTTACTATCTCAGCATGTCTTTGAATGCTGTGTTTTTTATATAATAATTGAGAGGGAAAACATTTATTCTCAGATTTATTTGTTGGAAACTGTTTGATTAAAAAATTCAATGAAATAATTTTTGTTTGTTTTTCAGTTTGGAACATTGACAGCATATAAACTGTTAAAACCAAGTACAGCTCGTTATCATCATTTTGGTTATTGATAAATGACTGTTTTCCTCACCTAGCATTCCGCTTAAGGCTTTTGTCTCCATCTTCACCATAATGTTTATCAGTCATAGTCAGTTTAAGCAAATTTATAGTACAAATTTTATAATAGCCAATGTCTTAGTTAAATGAGCTTAACTTAATTACAAGTAGTTTTTGTCATATTTTATGTACATGATCTTGGTTGTCTATCATTCTTTATGTATGCAATCTGTGCTTTCTTCTACTTATGATGATGAGGATTAGTTAAATAACAAAATATTCTGGTCATGACAGTTTCCCAGCACAACAGGAAGCCAGAGAAATAAAGTAAATAATTATGTAACACTGGCAGTGCATTATTTTATGACAACATTTTATCTTGCTATATTTTAAACTTTTTAAGTAGGATGTCATTTACTTAAACATTTTTTGTGACACAACAAAACTAGCTAAACTTATCCTCTTGGTTGAACTGTAGATATTAGAATTTCAGAGCATGAACACATTCATGCTACAAGTGCAATATTCACCTTTTATCTATTGAAGGATTTTAATTGAGACAACATATCTTTCTGTATTTATACTACTAGTAAGTGTTTCCTGTAAATTATTTGGCATTGATTTCATGTGTATATTAGAACTGTGTGAAGGTTACTCTTGTTTCTCTTTCCCTCCCCCCTCCCCTGTGTTCTCTGTGAATAAACGACAATTGGATTGTGGTTGGTAAGATTTTTACAGCATGCTGGTAGTCTTTATACTAAGGCAACATATATTGTACATACAATTTCCTCTGTGCTGTATCTTGCTATAGGTTATCTTGTAGTGCTGCCATTTAATGAACTTTATAATTACTACATTTACACTTAGAAACTGATGGTTGTAATTTTAAAGTTTTTTTAATGGTTCACAACATTTCGCAGTATAATTTTAAGATCAGCTATTATGGGGAAGTTTGTATAATACAATAGTGTACAACTTGCTCTTAATTATTACATGATTTTTAATTCTTTTTGCTATCTATGTAAATTAGAGGGGTGATGGTTGTAAAAAGAATTTGCTTAACGTGTCATGTTTGTTTTTAATAGATGCAATTTTATTAAATTGTGCTTTTTTTATTTTTAACAATTGAACTAGTATGTGAACAAGATAGCACTTTCCTTCTTGATTTCTTGTGATATAATTTAGTGTTAATGTGATAAATATGTTCTCTGTGTATTTTTGTCCTTTTGTACAGAATTAGTGTTGCTTTATAATTCATTGGATATGCTTCTCACACAAGTTGTAGAAATGGTCTACAACTTGAACTTTGCTTTGAAATTTGATTGTTTTTTTTTTACACTTTTAAATAACAAAAAAAAAATCTAAGGGAATGGGATACGGAGAACTGTTTTAGCCATTTTTTTTTTCCCGAGATATTCCCTTACAGTAATACTTTTTGAGCTATTAGGGTACATTTTTTAAGCAGTTTTGCTGTAAATGGTTGTGCATTTCTCAAAATATAGCAAACTTTGCTATTAACTAGAAACTATTTTCATTAGTCAACTACTTATTCATGTTGTATGACTTTTTTTTATCAGTACAAGACATTTTCTTTCTAAAATATGTGGGTGAAAAACCACAATCCATACTTTAAAAAAAATTATTGTAGAACAAATATTTTAACCTGTCTGAAACCTACCTAGTCCTTTCATTTGCAAGGATGCATTTTTTGTTTAATTTATTAACTTAAAGTGTGGTAGTTGTAAATGCAATATTTCAAAGCGCTTGTTTGTGGCACAATAAAAAATAAAACAATCATTCACATTTTTGTTGATTATTCTTATCAGTTGTTAGTGCTTAATTAAATTTATAGTTTTACTTCTGAAAGGGATCTTTTTGAAACAGAAAAATGGTGAAGATATTAACAGATATATTTCTACACTTGAAGAAACACAAAACTACTTCCCAATTTACTGCTTTTTTCCACATCATTCTTGTCTATGCTACAACAAACAAAATCAAATATCATATCACACTAATACTATCCACTGTAAATACTTGCAAACCTTATGACATCCTTACCATCTTTGTCCTAATTTACAGTTAAGCAGGTTACACTGTTGTCAACCCTTACTACATAGACACTTCAAAACAATGACATTGTCTATACTAAAAAAAAATTCTCACAGAAAATACTGAAAGGAAATTTAATTATTAAAATATGCTAATTAAATATAACATTTTGTTGTTGCCCCTTAGTCTTCAACTGTTACAGTAAAACTTAAATGAATATCCCAAGACAAATTATAACATAATTTAAATTATACTTCCATTTTAAAAATTCTATTGAGTTTTTCGGTCTTTTATTGTTGCACTCGCAAATTAGACATCCGGTTACTTTGTTAAACTATGGGCCATCAACTCTTACAACACAGCAATGACTCAAAACAACAATATGTCGAACTGTAAACCATTGTTTATTTAATATTTAACTGTCAAACGTGTCGAAGTGTCAGTGATATTATACTAGATCTAATAGGGGTAGATATAGATCTGTATCGTATGTCTAGATCTTTAGGCCTAGCCTATATTTATTAATTTATATTAAATATTTAATATTAATTTTTGGTAATCTATCGTTTTGGGTACGTAAAATCGCCCGCGACTTGTAATGTGAAAACCAGGTGACTCTTTAAATTTTAATAATTCTTTCACATTTTGAGGAGGATTTATGTTTTGAAAAATACAAAAATATTTCCTTGTTTCATTTAAGTACCTGTTTTTATTCAATTGAATTAAAACTTTTCAGTAATAAATGAACACCAGCGATGTTTCCAACAGATACAACCATGCTCATTTACTATAGTAGCCATCTTGTTAAAGTTTTATTTTTATAGACTTCAAGCGTGAGATTCAGGCGGAAGTCACTCTATTTTACAAATGGCTGCTATTTATATAGCAAATCTTGCTTGCAGACACTGCTGTTTAAAGTTAATTTCTGGCCTATATTGATATATTTAGCCATTGATTTAGGTTTATTATTCATTTATCTATAATATTTGACACAAACATATCACAATATACTTCTATTACAGCCTTGATAATGAGGTAACGTTTTCGTACATTAATAGCCGCGAGCGATTTTACGTACCCAAAACGATAGATTACCTAATTTTTTTTATATTTATCCCTATATAGGCCTATATTCTATATATATATAATATATAATATTAATGGATGATATTAATAAATAATTATAAAATAAATCATCATCATCATCACTCCTTTGTGGCCCCTGGGGAGCAAAGGGCTGCAACCACACATCTCCAGTGGACTCGGTTTTGGGCTGCTCCTCTAATCTGTGCCCATGAGAGCCCAGCTGTTTTCGCCTCTTCCTCAACCGTTCTCATCCATGTTTTCCTTGGCCGGCCCACCCTCCTTTTCCCCTGGGGATTCCAGTCCAATGCATGTTTTGCGATGTTTTCTTTTCTTAACGTGTTTCCGATCCATCCCCATTTACGGGCTTTGATATCTTTCTCTATTGGCTGTTGTTTTAAAATTTGCCACAGGTCTTTGTTTGATATTTTGTCTGGCCATCTTATTTTGAGTATATGTCGTAAGCATTTGTGATGCACAGGATCTCCAAGATCGATACCGACGATACTCTCGCAGATTAAGCTTGAGCGGGGCCCCTGGCTGAAATTTTTGGGGGCCTCTACTCTTCATACGCATACAATTTTTAAATAATTTTTTTTTTACCACATGATTTAGTTAAGCCATGTTTGTTGTCATTTTCAGAGATAATATAGAATCTTTACACAAACAAATTGTTTTTGGCTTTTAAAATTTTGTTTTGTTCAGGCCTAGTTACCGAAAATACTAAATCAGTCATATTTTTATAACTATATTTATTTTAGTAATATCGTACAGAATTTTGAAAATAATTAATGGGCCTTTTGAATAATTTTGAGAGTATTCCGATTGGTCCATTAATACTCATTTTATTTGTAATTTATACGTCATAGGTTAGAGGGGGGGGGGGGAATTTTTTAGATAAGTGTCAGATAATAATCATAATAGAATCTTCTTAAAAAAGGGGTGTTATTTTTCTGGTAGTTAACCAAAATACTTTGAAAATACACACATAGCTTGCTATCCCTATCCCTAACTACAACCCTAGTAGTAGTAGTCCTTGTTACGATGTGAGTTTAGGATGGGGGCGACCTTGTAGTACAACATGGGTTTATGGACAATGACGATCAGATATGAATCACTCAACAGAACCGCATAGGTTCTTTCCTTGGTTTATTGCACTGTTAAATGAATACAACTATATCCACAATGACAGACGAATACATCTACCCAATAACACAACATGACGAAGACTGCCCTAATCTATTTCCCCTAGCAATCAGATCATACCCTCAAACATTACATCCTTTCGTACTTCGTCACACAGTCACAACCTTTTATTAATCTAAATCATTTCACAACACACATACTCTCATTCCCGTTGCAATCCATACCTATGCAATACCTAAGATAACATTTATAACAGTCCTACCATCTATATTCTATATGTAATGTGGTAGTTATAAAATTTCTAGATCTAAATTTAAGACTAGATTCTTTTCAATTCATATTTGATGATATTCTTATCTCTTAATTTCTACTATAGATTTCTGGATCTATTCTCAGTACTCTGTGACTGTCTGAAAAGTGTTGAGTTCATCAAGTTTCATAGTTTAGTGGGGTTAGTATGTAACTTTGTAGTGTTTTAAACTAGTTAAAGTATGAGTAAATCTTAATTAGGCCTATATCTAGATCCATAATTATTGTAGACCTAATGTGTCAGTTACAGTAGGCTATGTCTATAAATACAGGGATGGTGTGGTCGAATGGTAGAGTGTTTGACTGCTAACACCTACAAGTTTTGAGTTCAAATCCCGCGCTCAAGTCAATACAACATTCTTTTAGTCCACCCAGGTTAGGGAAAGTAAAAGTGGCTGGGCATACTATATTATACACTATACATTCATATACCAAGGTAGCTGAAACAGGTTAACTGTACATCACCTGTTTGAATTAAAAGGGTACTGATAATTTAGCTAGAGAGTTAATACATGCTAACTCTTGTGTCACATGGCTCTCTTGGTATTCTCTACACCACTGAAGGTTGGATATCCGCACAAATATGTGAAAAATATATGGGTCTGAACCCATTGGGAATGAAGGAAGGAATAGATCTATATAACACGCAATTAGAACAGACGAAAAATTACTTTTTAAAAAGCAGCCTCGTGTGGTCGACAGAAAATAAAAGAATATCTTAAACCACCCTACGTTGAACAATCTTGAAGATTTACAGGGTATTTAAACACTAGCAATACACGTTGACTGACTAAAGTTTAATTAGTCTAGTGACGCTGTTGTCTACTAGTTTACTAATACACAAACATGTTTAGGTCTTTTGTGTTTTAAATTGGATTAAAAGTTTTTGGGCTTAAATGGTAAAATGTACAGGTGAATAATATTCAATTACAACTTCCATGACTTAAGGAGTACAAATGCAGGATAATCTAGTTAATCACCTGATATTGCAACTATAGTGCCTTTAAAATTGTGCTTGATTATTTTTTGATTTACCTTAAGCATAACTATACAAAAAATTTGCTTCAGATAGAAACAAAATTTGAAAACATTTCTCCATACATTTCTAAATAAGCCTACTGTTGTAAACTTGAAAAGCTTTTTCTGAATCCAATGGAAGGCGCAGGGTTATAATAGATATGTCTCTTTGTAATATGTTTGTATGTGATCAGTCTACTTAACACTTGCAGATCATGTTTTATAATCGAGGTCAATCAAATACACATTTATTATTTTAGGGAGAGCACGTGTTAAATACAGAGGGAAAAAGCTTCTGGTTTGGACATAAACCTTTTTTTTTAGATTGTAAGCAACAAACAAAAAATTGATAGGCAATTTTTAATAATCGTCGTTAACAGCAAATTGGTGGCTTCCTGTTCAGCCCATTAATCTATCACTGTCAATGAGATATGGCTTTATCATTTCTTTTTCTATAATTATGAGATGAACCTAGTCGTATTCTTTGTTTTAGTTGAGAAAGTTTGAGCATGGTTTGGATCACATCTATGCTGTTAGCCACAGTTTTGTGGTCAGGGTTTTTTGATCAAACTTGCTCCAAAGAAATAGAGGAAACCCACCATGAGCTCAACTTTTCCAGGAAAATACAGTCTGAGAGTTCAACAGTGGTCCTTGTTCAGGTGGTAAGTGGCATAAAATAGCATAAATTATTTTCCCTCTTGGTACCTGATGAACTTACTTAAGAGTAACCACAATTTTTGCACCACTTTATTATTTATCTAAATCCCCTGCATCTCAAAGACACTCAAGCATATTGAGACATTAAGGTCTTTGTGTTGTATTTTGGTCAGTCTGTTCAGGGGTTCCTTTATAGTTAGGCTTAGAGGTGTGTTGAGCTCATAAAAGATTTACCCTATAAAAATATTTCATTAAAGTGTTACATTTTATTTATTTAAATCATAATTTTGTTATTCTTTTTTTCTCTCACCTTAACCCACATGTGTTTTATAGAGTGAAAGATACAGAGCATGAAATAATAAAATGTGTTCACACACACACTAAACCTATTGTTTAGAAACAAACCTAGAAATGTGTGAGCTAATCCACCAGATTTATATCTGATCATAAATTGTATTGTAACAAGAGCAAGCATCTGATGACAAATAGAAACCGATGGGGCCAGTTTGAAGTGACTAATAGAACCCATAAATGATACATGAATGTTAATGTCGTACATTTTTTTATCATAAATTGAACATAATGTAATCGCTAATGTAAAATCAATATACAATTGAAATAAAACAAACTGCTGGATATTTTCATTACAGGATGTGTTTATTTTTATGTTCCTTTACAGTCAAGATTTTTTTTTTAATTTACATTTTTAAATTTTATTTTGAAAGCACTAGTGTTTTTTCAGTGAATACAAAGAATCTAATAAGATGTTAAGTTTGTACTAGAAAGAAAATGATGAAATGTATACAATAAAAATATTTAATAAGTTGGAGGGTTGTCTAGAAATAGTTCATTCAATAGCATGTAATATTAAGAAGACAGTCGGTCATCTTTAATAAGATGGTTGCTTCAAGATTGTTATGAACTGTGCTTAAGCTTTGTTATCATTATGTCAACTAATTGAAACTATTTAGTTTGGTCTGAGCTAAATATAAGTAAATCATGTCTTATTTTTAGATTCATCGCCATGGAGACCGTAGTCAAACTAGCACATATCCTAATGACCCAAATAAAAATAGTTGGCCTCAAGGTTTTGGGCAGTTGACCACGGTAAAAATAAGTTTTCAGTTAATCAGTTAATCAACTCTTGAATGGGCACATTATTGCCCATGTATTGTTTTCTGACCAAGTATCTGACAAGTATTCTTGTTATCAACAGATGGGCATGAATCAAGGGTTTGAGCTTGGCCAGTTTTTGCAGTCCTGGTATGGGGAGCTGATTGATAAAGTGTTTAACCACACCCAGGTGAGTGCCCCCACATCCTCACTATACTGTCTATACAGTCCTGGTATGACGAGCTGATTGATAAAGTGTTTAACCACACCCAGGTGAGGCCCCCACATCCTCACTATACTGTCTATTTGATTGTTTACGCTGGTGGTTTAAATTCCTTGTGGAGACTCACATTTTTTATTGCTTTTAAAACTGGAGCATTGCGTTTTTAATTAGTTCAGTAATGCACATGTTGATATTGTTTCTTTTAATTTTTTTTAATTAGTAGTTAGTAATTTTGTAAGCACTTTTCATCCAATGCAACCTTTTTTTAGAAAACTATTCACGAAGTAACAATCTTCTAAATGCAGGTGTCCATCAGAAGCACAGATTACGCTCGTACACTGATGACAGCAGAATGTGTAGCAGCTGGGCTGTTCTCACAAGCTGACAGACAGAACCACTCTGTCCAGGGCTTGCCTTCAATCAATTGGCAGCCTGTGCCCATTTACTCTGTGCCTAAATCCATGGATCGGGTTGGTGAACACTCATTTTTACTTTCTCGTATATACGTAGTATAGAGAAAGTATTGTAATCGTGCAAAAAAAAAAATCGAGATTTTTACAAATCTCGACGTTTTACACCTCACTGATACGGAAAAACATAATTTTGCAATCTTGTCCGTATGTCTGTGTGTGTGTGTGTCTGTGTGTGTGTGTGTGTGTAAACACGATTACTTGAGTACCGTTACAGCTAGGTTGATGAAATTTCATATATAAGTATTTTATCAAAATCGTAGATCCGTATCAACTTTTGAGCGATTTCCGATAATCGGAAGTGGTACTTTTTCTACTTTGAATTTTTCAAAAGCCTATAACTTGAGTACTATTTCAGATAGATAAATGAAATTTCACATGTAAGTAAAAGATCTAATTCTCTACCTTCTGTTAAATTTTGAGTAATTTCCGTTGACGGGAAGTACTAATTTACGCTATTTCCGATTTCTCAAAAACGCATCTAAATTTATAAAGTACTAATAATATTGCGCACCATTATGAACATCTTTATTCGGCGTTCGCTTGGTGTGCAATACTTTTTTCTATGAAATTCTATTTTATTTTAAAAAGTTTATGTATTTAAAATAGATTAAAAATCATTACTATATCCCGAGTTCCCATCCCCTGTTGTTTTATATAAGAATATTCGAGAAAGTTTAGGGGAGATCACATCCGGTTTATTTAATTTTTGTTTTACAATCCAGTTTTGTCACACGAAAAATATATTTAATACATTTCAAGAAATAATAGTTACAAAATAAAATTCAAATATGAAACTTAAATTTCTTTAGCTGCTAAGACCCTCATCAAGTTGTGAGTACATTAATGACTTGAGATCAGAAGTGGAAGTCTCATTTGATTCTCAGCAGGAGTTGTTGTTCCAGAAGGTACTTTCTCTTCTATCATTCTTTTAAATCATTGTTTGTTCACTGTGTAATCTTAATGTAAAATTATAGTTTTTAGATACCAAGCAGATTTTCCTTGATATCAGTCTACTTCTATTTTAGGAACTTATGCTGAATTTGAGCAGGTTTACTGGTATGGATATAAATGCTACCAGCTTGCATTATTTGGCTGATATAGTCTTCTGTCAGGTAATGTCAAATATGTTAGATGACAATACAAAAACTAACTTAGAGGAATAGTTTTACTAATTCTCTCTATACAACTGCACTAATAAAACAGAGATAAATAGGAATATGCTAAAAGAAGGGACACAGTTAACTTACCTTGGAAGTTTTGTGTCTAAGGAATTGACCAAGACATGAAGGTCTGAACCAGCAAGGCAACAAATTCTGTAAACTTGCTAAAGCCTGTCTGGGATTCTAATCCACTATCAAGAAACACAAAGCTCAGAATGTTTGGCACAAAAGTGAAAAACAAATCCACTAAACAGGTTGTTTAGACTTATCTTGAAAATACACAGGCCAGACAAAGTTTTAAACCCACAACCAGGTCAAGCTCCAGTTAAGGTCAGCTAGTAACACAACCGTGATAGCCACTATGCATTATGTATGTGGGCTAAGCATAATCTAGACCTTATGTTCATCAGGCAGCCAAAAGATAATAAAAAGAAGTAGAAGAATTGTTTCGGCTAGTTGAGTTTTACCATATATGTGATCTATTGTATAATTATTTACATTTTCTGTTTAAAAAGATAGCACATTATCCCCATAAGACTAACAATGAATGGGAGTTTTAAAAATTCTACATTATCCTAATGAGCATAATTACAACTATGATTTGAGTTTATGTTGAGCCGCAAGTGACTAAAACTGTGTCTGTTGATGTGATACAGAACAGCCACAACATGACGCAGCCCAAGTGGTTGACCCCTGACATTCAGACGCAGCTGTACAGCTATAAACAAAACAAGGCTTCTGTTACAGCAGCGGATGCCAAGTATTTAAGTGGTGGGCAATAGTTGTCATTTGTTGTAGTGCTGTATGCAAGATGTCATTTTTTGTTGTAATGCTGTGTGGTATTAGATGTCATTTGTGGTAGTGCTTTGTGGTACAAGATGGATTTGTTGTAGTGTTGTGTGAATGTTTATGTGTGGAACACACCCATCTGATACTTACACCAAATTACTGAAAAATTTGTTGCTTAATTTTAATAATAATATTAAAAAAAAAAAGGTTACACTCTACTAAAAAATGTGTAGCTCTTGTTCTTTAGCAAGTGCCATGGATACATCCTACATGTGCTGTAATTCTGTGTATATTCTAAACAGGAACATTGCTAGAGACATTAATCAATAATATACAAGCAAAGATGAAGGGCAGCCAGAACAAGATGTATTTGTATTCTGCAGTGAGTATTGTCTGGTTAACTTTTCTCTACTTTTGTCTAACAACAAACACATTTGTCATTAACGTGACCAATGTCTTTGTTAACATCACAATAACTGAGAAAATGTTGGTTCTTTTGGCTTGAGTCTCAGCTATTTTACAATTTATGTAAATCACTTGTTGAATCGTTACTGATTGAATTTTTACAATCTTTACAGATTATGGATGTAGAATCTTTAACTAAGTAAATATTTCCCTGACCATACAACTAGTTCCATGTTTTTAAAAGCTTTTATTTAACTTGATTCCTCTGTCTATCGTCAGTCTGTCTTTCTACCTGTCGTCATAGAGCGAAATGGGTGAGCAAAATTTCGGGCACTTCTAACTGACAGATTCGTTTCAAAGTTGGCATGTGGGTCAAGACTTGAAGATAATGCAATATTACATTAATTTTAACTTAATTGGATGACTAAGTAATTTTTTATGGATTAATTAAAATTTTCTGAGATTAGTTGGCAGTCTTGACTACTCTTTATCATGTTTATTTGGTGCGCAATAGTTTTTAGTCATGCAACTCTATAGTAAATAAACAAATTTAAAGTACTGAAAAAAATTTGCATACAAATGTTTTAGTTACAAGTTTTTATGTATTAATGCACTAAAAAGGGGACAATAAATGATTTTCTTTAAATATATACTACTACACTACTATTTAAATTACTATCAAGAAAAACTTGGGTGACTTCTAAACTATTAGTTTAAGTACCCGATGCATATTATAGTGACCAACGCTTTTCTTTACAGTTATTTAAATATTACTATATATTTAAAGAAAATAATTTATTTTCCCCTTTTTAGTGCATTATTACATAAAAGCTTGTTATTAAAACAATTGCATGCACATTTTTTACTGCTATACATCGTCACCCAAAAATTATTCTATTCATTTGTTACATAACCAGCTTTGGTTTGGTTTGATAAATGTTGGCATTTTCTGTACAGAAATCTTTAGCCAATATTCATGTATTTTATTCTCTGTACTGTAACAAATTTTTTCTATGACCACCTTATCCACTGTACTGTAATGACATATATTTTCTATGACCACCTTATTCACTGTACTTTAATGACTTAAATTTTCTATGACCACCTTATCCACTGTACTGTTATGACGTATATTTTCTATGACCACCTTATCCACTGTACTGTTATGACATATTTTCTATGACCATCTTATCCACTGTACTGTAATGACGTATATTTTCTATGACCACCTTATCCACTGTACTGTAACGACGTATATTTTCTATGACCACCTTATCCACTGTACTGTAATGACATATATTTTCTATGACCACCTTATCCACTGTACTGTTATGACTTATATTTTCTATGACCACCTTATCCACTGTACTGTAACGACTTATATTTTCTTTGACCACCTTATCCACTCTACTGTAATGGCGTATATTTTCTATGACCACCTTATCCACTGTACTGTAATGACTTAAATTTTCTGTGACCACCTTATCCACTGTACTGTAATGACTTATATTTTCTATGACCACATTATCCACTGTACTGTAACGACGTATATTTTCTTTGACCACCTTATCCACTCTACTGTAATGACGTATATTTTCTATGACCACCTTATCCACTGTACTGTAATGGCGTATATTTTCTATTACCACCTTATCCACTGTACTGTAACGACGTATATTTTCACTGACCAGCATGAGTCACCACTGAGATTTTTAATGGCACTCCTGGGGGTGGACACAAGACTTGAGGTACCCTACGCAGCAGCTGTCATTGTGGAGCTACACCAGATCGAGGGCAAACATTTGATCAGGCTGTTCTATAGAAACAGCACAACCCAAGCACCTCATGTCCTGGTAGCTGCAGGTTGGTGCAATGGTTTTCTCATGTTTCACTTCAACAGATATCTCATCTTTACTATACCATGTTAAAAGTATTTTTGTTTGAACTTTCAAAACAACAGTTGAAAAAAAGAAATTGGAAAAAATTTAAAGAATAAAACTGAAAATATGTAGGCCTATAGTATGTTAAAATAACTCAAATCTGTGATGACTAAATAAATTATTTAATCAACAGGCTGCCCTAATGAGATGTGCCCCTTCCACATATTTAATGAAGTCTATCAAAAGCGAATGCTGACAGATAAGGAATGGGATGATATTTGTATTGAAGCCCCTTATAAAAGTTTTGTTTTGGCAGAAAGTATGTTAACATTTCAGTAAATTAGTTTTATAATTTGAATTATCTATGGATATAAACATAGGTGCTAGTCAGTGGTATCAGCACTTATTTGTTAGGAGAGGTGGAGGGGTTAAAAATATTTTTTTGCTTTTAAAATCATTATGGAATATATATTTTCATGTACACACACACACACACACACATATATATATATATATAGCATAGATGGATAAACATAAAGTGACACGAGTACATCATCACCAATAGCTGTATCTTTTAGTGCAGGTGTTCTCCATAGTGAGAGGTTTTAAACCATGCCCCCTCTCCCCCCACCACCACTGTTAGTTTCTCCACTTCACTAACAAACTTTTAAAATGACAGGTCTGTTCCCTCTGCTGGTTGGAGTGTTGGTGGCCTTCATAGGCCTGGATGTGTTCCTGGGATTTAAGCTTTTCAACCTGCACAATGTACTGCGACATGGCCCTCATCTAGAGCAATATGCCCTGCTGGAAGCTGAACAAGATCACAATGAGAGTGATGTGGAATTTGAACTGGAAGAAATGCATACAAAAGTGAAGAATGAGGATCTAAAGCAAAATAATGGGGGTGGATCTCACGTTATTGATTCAGATGAAAGTATATAACACAAGGAAGTTAGGCAGCCGTGTTTTTATTGCTTGTTGAATAATAATCAGGTTGTGATTCCATTACCACCTGTATCTGGCTCATCCATGACATTCCTGTAGCTGAGTCCTGATTGGCCAGGGGACTGCTGCTACTGTGATATAGATCTGACCAATTGTGACAAATATGTGATCATTCAGGAATTTTTAAAAATGTGAATTTTCATTAACTACAGTATGTCTTTTAAAGTAATTTGAAACCAAATAACCAAAAATGTAAATACCTTAAGATCTAAATATAATCACATATAACCAGATACAATGAAAGATTGAATTTATTTTTAAATGACTTCCCTGTAACATTACCATTTCAAGCTCTAAATCAACTGTTTTTGTTTTTATTGTGTTCAACCTGAGTGTGCTATAGCATTCATAGAAGATTGTGGTGCCACAGCTGTGTAGACTTCCCACATAATTGGACCCATTTGTAGTGGCTCACATTGTCTAAAAATGTTATCTTGTTTTGCAATTGATTCTCAGATCTAGTCAGTATTGTCAGGGCTCAAATTTTAAATGATATTAATTTTTAAAAATCTGATTTGAAATGATATTGTTACCTCTCTGTGATATTCTATTGGTTCATGGTGGGCAGAGATTTAAGTTAGATGTTGTTTGATCTCTAGTCATGCCAGTGGATATTGTCTTATGTGATTCTTGGTGGGCAGAGATTTAAGTTAGATGTTGTTTGATCTCTAGTCATGCCAGTGGATATTGTCTTATGTGATTCTTGGTGGGCAGAGATTTAAGTTAGATGTTGTTTGATCTCTAGTCATGCCAGTGGATATTGTCTTATGTGATTTTTGGTGGGCAGAGATTTAAGTTAGATGTTGTTTGATCTCTAGTCATGCCAGTGGATATTGTCTTATTGTGTTCTCTTTTTCCAGGAGCTTCTACCAAAGTTATATGGTTGTACATAAAATGTAGTCACATACCTGGGGGAGTGGGGCGCTAGTGTTTTAACTGTTCTGTGAGTGGAGATAAATGTGGGGTAGCAGCTATTTTGTAATTGTTTTAGGGCAAAAATTATGAAGGGGGAGGGTAAAGGAGAGAGAATAGTCTAAAAAGATACTCATCTGTAAATGACCCATAACATGTTTAAGATTAAGCCAATACCTGCCATTCCAACATTGTTATTATATTTTACAAACTTGGGCCTTTGGTGTTTTTTTTATTCTTTCAGTATTTTAAACAGATGAGACCATACATATTTACAAATGTTCTTCCATGATTAACAGAAAGATCTGTATGTACCAAATAACTCTTTCTCTGTCTTTCTATTGAAAAAAATGTACTTGCTTCTTTTATTTCAATATACACAATTAAAGAAGTTTTTACCCTATGAGATTTTAGGAAGATTTTGATGTATTTATGCAGATTGAAATTTTAGCATGCTGGTGCATTAATGACATTGTGAAAGTATTGTAATTAAAGAGACATTAAATTTATCAGCTTTGCAACTGCTGCTTTTGTTCTAAAGGAAAACATAATTCTTTTTGATAATCTTTTATTTTCAAATTTTAAACAATTAAAAAAATATCTGTAATATAAATATTACAATAACATAATAAATGCATAAACACAATTATTTCTGTTGAAACATATCTTGTGTTAATTTAATATTGATTTTAAAGAATAAATGACTTAGTTTTAAGTTGAATGTGGAATAGTTGTACACCAGATAATAGCAGTGATAGCAAAATGTCTGGTAATTAGACTAACTAGGGGGGAAAGTCAACAATGAATTTTTTTTTGACGTTTTGTTTCATCTTCCGCTTCAACTTTTTAAATTTAAATATTAGAATTTTCCAGTCCCTATTGCCACACTAAAACAAAAATTCAAGTTGAGAGTTAGGTAAAGTGGAAGGTTTGAATAGTAACTTTTTTTTCTGTAATAATCTTTAACCACAATAAAAAAACAACCAGCATTATAAATTGACCTGTAGCTTACATGCATTATAACAGTTAAGAAAGACATTAACCCACTCTGAAAATACAAATGATCAAACCTTCCCTAATACTGTTTCGAATGAGTCTTTCCTCTTCCCAGTGTCTGACAGTGGACACTTCCAACAATAGGTGTATCAGGTTGCTAATAGTAATCTAATATCAGGTTTTTTTAGGGTCTGAAGTAGGGGTAGAGATACTACTTGTAACTTACGCCCAATTTTTAAGAACATTTCATTATAGTAACATTTTCAGACACTAGTGAGGAACAAAAATACATTCTGCTTGGCAAAACTCTGTAGCTTTTCTGTTTGACATAGATTGTGAAAAAAATGAAGATAATTTATTTATTCTATTGCTCCTTGGTTATAGTTGTCCTATGTCTCACGTATATTCACAATGATGGCTGCATCCTGCTGGACACTGGTTACTGACTGACAGCCACTCCATCATGTGGTCAACATGCCCCCCATGGCAGCAGCCCTGACACCACACAAATGCACCTCGTACAGGCTGGTGGCTAAAGAGTTAAAATATTCTTTCATTAATACCACACAAACAGGCTGGTGGCTAAAGAGTTAAAATATTCTTTCATTAATACCACACAAACAGGCTGGTGGCTAAAGAGTTAAAATATTCTTTCATTAATACCACACAAACAGGCTGGTGGCTAAAGAGTTAAAATATTCTTTCATTAATACCACACAAACAGGCTGGTGACTAAAGAGTTAAAATATTCTTTCATTAATACCACACAAACAGGCTGGTGGCTAAAGAGTTAAAATATTCTTTCATTAATACCACACAAACAGGCTGGTGGCTAAAGAGTTAAAATATTCTTTCATTAATACCACACAAACAGGCTGGTGGCTAAAGAGTTAAAATATTCTTTCATTAATACCACACAAACAGGCTGGTGGCTAAAGAGTTAAAATATTCTTTCATTAAAACCACACAAACAGGCTAGTAGCTGAAGGGTTAAAATATTCTTTCAATGTTAAATAGTTCTTCACTAATGCCTTCAACATGATAATCACATTTTTTAATTTTGCGACTTATGAACCAATCAAGAAAAAAAAAGGATTTACAAATAATCATTAGCTAGAAGAGGATATAAAGAGAAAGACAACTCTGAACACAAAAAGATTCAAGTAACTCACCAAACACTACAAAGATTTAAAATGCGTTTACACTTGTCACACAGCCAAGTGGCCCTCTCACAAGCTCTGGAACACTTGAAGCACATGGCGTGTATGACTGTTGATTCCTGATTCAAGGAGTTGACAGACATCAGCTTACACTGCTTGATGACATCATTGGCCACTGTCCATAGCTCATAGCGACCCAGTAAATCTGCACAACATGAGTTATACATCAACAACACTTAATATATACTACAGATAAAAGTAGCAACCCAGTAAATCTGTCAACAGAATGTTTCACATAAAAAAACAACACTTAACATGCTACAAATGAAGCTAAAAATGTAGTTGTGTAAAGCATTTAAACATATATTGTTTTCAATCTTAAAAAGCTTGAAGAAAAAAAAATATATTAAAAAATCTTATTGAACATTATCACATTAAAAAACCAATTCAACAAATCAACTCACTTATATAAACAGGAAACCAACTCAACAATTTCTATTCAATTCAACAAATGAACTCACCAATATAAGCAAGAAACCAACTTTCTTGGTAGGCTTCATCAATTTTGGTTCGTATCTGATCTCCTAAAACTGTCAACATTGACACAGCTGTTTGAACATCTCCCTAGAGACCAGGGACAAACAGAAAATTGTTTCACTACCAACAAGACTCATGTAGCTTACAAAACTGCACATAAACAGTTTACAATTTTTTCTGAAATAACTATGGCAATATATTTATTTATAATATCACTAACATTGAATTTTATAAAAAGATTAATTTAAAAAGATTGAAGAAATTCAAAGGCCCAATTGCTAACAAAATCAATATAAAAACTTCTACTATTTATAAACTACTGTAAAGAAACCAACCTGTTCTGCTAAAAATTTGATGAGATCAGCAACTGTGGAAGAGTAATCTGGAATTTCAAAATCATAGGAGAACTTAACAACAAGAGTAGGCTCCCAGCTCTGGTCATGTGACTCTTGTGGTGCCGGCTCCATTGTTGTAGACAGAGCCAAATCTGACTCACCCATGGTCAAGGGGTGAGTTCCTGTCATTGGGTTCAGCTCATGTCTGGGCTGGAAAGCTTCGGAGGGCGGGGCTTTGTTTATCCAATCCTAAAGATGGTAAGAAACCGTTTGTCAGTCATTTAGAAGAGAACATTTTTGTTCTCTATTTCTGTAGGTTTAGATTTAAAAACCCAAGTAAGGAATTTTTAAAAATTTTAATGTTAGATTGAAATTTTAAAAAATTAACTATACTTTACAGAACTGTTCTAGAGCTTCATCAAAATAAGTAGAAAAGTCTGAAGATTTTGTCAAGAAGACAAACAACTAACATAATGCTCTGGATTCACAATTCCCCCAGTGTTATACAGATCTGAGCTGGTCTCGTCTTCTCCACCATCTCCAAATAAAAAATTTGATTCGGTGCTAGGCTCGGGTACACTTTTTTCTACTTCAGAGTTTTCTCCCTCCACATCAGAGCTTTCTTCATTGCTGCCTACAGGTTTAAACAGTGACAAAAGTTACACATAACATTTCTTCCACAATCAAAAGCAACTAAAAAGTTTCAAACAAAAGCCACAACATGGAGAAAACAAAACAAAACATTCACCTGAAAAAGTATCCACATGTGAGAATGGCTTCACCACTTTAATTTCTCTAGCTCGTTTTAATGTTGGTTTTACAGCTGAAATATCGAATTAATAAATTATATCTCAATTCTGTGATGTGTTCAATAAACAATCCTCTTTAAATGATATTAGGATAAATAGTGATTCCAAAAATGAAAGCATTACTTACCTAAATATAATGATGGTTTAGTACTAACTAAAGTCTTCTTTACTCAAATTGAATGATATTATAGTTTTCATTAAAATGACCAAATATTTTTGTTGTGATAAAAACTTTCACTACCTAGATCAGAATGATCTTGCTTGTCCTGCTGAGGTCCTGTACGACTCATGTGGTTGGGGACATTGGGCTGGGAGCTCGGGGCGTATATGACAGCAAGATTGTTCCACATCTGTGCAATCTGACAGTTAAAGACCAGTGACTTTACAATCATGACTAATAGCTAATAAATTATTTATTTCTTAACTTTTGTATGGCAATACCTAACGTATTCAGGAGTTAGTAAAATGTTTTGTAAAGAAACAGCACTGGTTTACTTCAGCGGATGTGTTCAACAGAGGATAAAATTTCTTTATTAAACCTTAAACACTAATGCTATACAAAGAAAATAGATTTACAGATACATTTTAAAATATGAACACAGGAAAAATAATTGGTGTCTATACATTTTAATGAGAAAAGTAGTGAATGTAATTTGTATTTTTATTAATTAATTAAAATAGTTCGATTTGAAAAAAATTAAAGTTGTTTTTCAATTTAATTCTATTTTCTAATAATTTGGTCCCTAGTTTTGCAGCTATTTGACATCCTACTAGTAACAGCATGAGCTTTACATCTGCTGTCTACTTATGAATTAGGTGAAGACTGAACAGATACTCACATGGTGCTTGCTATGGTTTGAGGCCACCACCCCGTTGTGTTTACACAGATCCACCAGAGACATACCCTGGAGTTTGTATTCTAGAGCAATTTCCTTGAAATACTGCATCAACATATCCTGTTCAGATGTAAGTCACAAACATTAAACATTAGGTAAAAAAAACAAATGGTAATAGAAAATGTGCTGTTACAAAAGTTGCTTTAATTATATGCTGTATGTGGAGACAAGATGTTACAAACTATACGTGATTTGTGTTTGCTATACCATGAACACATAAATGTAGGACCAAACTTTGGTGGTGAGGTTTTCAATGTTGTACTTTACTGTCAAGATGTAAGACAGGAGTGGGTAAGAGTGGAGGGATACGACTGAAAGAACAACGTAAGCCAGGAGTGGGTAAGAGTGGAGGGAAATGACTCAAAGAACAACTTTTTTACCTGACACTCATCTTCTTGACTGAAATTATTTTGAAAAACATTTAAAGAGCTGCTGGCTTGTGTGAACTGACGACTTTTTGAAATTTTTTTTGAGCGGGATGAACCAGATGTTGATTTGTCTATCAAATATAAAATACAAGAAAATGTTCAAGCTATGTCAAATTTCACTGTGAAAAACTACTATTTTAAAATGTGGATTAAAGAGAAGAAAAGAATAAGTAACCTTTTTTGTCAAAATATGCATATCCTATTTCCCCATTAATGCTTATGTCAACACCTGCTATGTTGACGTGGTCAGCCGGGCGTTTTGCTTCAGAAAAAACATGCTGTATCACGTTGCCATCTCGACCACAACTTAAGAAAACATGACAGTCCTCACGCCACTCAATGCCTGGGAATAGAGTTACAATAAAAAACAAAAGCATTTTTTACTGTAACTTTCTGACAATAAAACAATAAATAGATTTATACATAAATAATTAATGCATTAAAATTTACAGATGATGTCAAAACAAAAGAGTATTCATACAATTTTTATAAATAAATGTGTGTAAAGCAGTAATGGATTCATATAACAGAAATAATAAATGTGAAGTTATTAAAGTTATATCACATGTTTGAGTACACTTCAGAGTAAAGAATGAAAGCTATTTACAAGTAGCAACATCCATGTGTCCATCAAATGAAGCAAATGGGATGTAAGGTCTGCCAACGTCCCAGACATTGATGCTGTGGTCCACCAGCAGCGAACAGCTGGAGATGTGGTGCTTCCTGTTGGGCCGCCACTTGATTCTGGCCACAGACGCAATGTTGGTGATGCTGTGGATCAAGTTGGGGGATGCGGCTCTGTCTGGACGAACCATATCCCAAACCTGCTCGGACAAGAACATTTTTTTTTGTAAGAAATAATTTTTATGTATGCTTAATATATTTATAGAAAAAGTAGGTATAAAATTAGTAACATCTTTGATAATATTATACTTTTAAGAACAATCTAGTCCAAATTATTTTAACGATTTCATTGAAAGAAAAAATATCTTTTTTGTGATACATATAATCTAAATGGTATTTGAGAAAAAAAAACAACAACCATATTTTACAACCAAAAACAAGATCAATAAATAAAAAATTAGAAAATTCTACACCATAGAAATTCATATAAAGAGAAATTTTCTCGAAGAAACCTTAACATGCAAACATTAAGTAAGGAAAATATGAAGTCAAACCTTGATCATTTTATCCCTGCCTGCTGTGGCCAGCCAATATGTTTTGTCACCAGGGTGCCAATCAAGGGAAAACACAGGTCCATTATGGGCCATAAACTGTTTCTCACACCTGTCTGGTCGACGCATGTCCCAAATCTACAAACAAAAAAACACTGTACAGCTAGACTAATATTTTAAAACATGTATCAGGAGAAATTCCATATGTTAAAGTTAAAATCTAGCATTTAACAGCAATATTGACTTTTACTTTATTGTATTCATGTTGTAAGAAATTTTAAAATAAAGACATCTTGGCTTACACAAAATTTACAAATGTGAGTTAGTTAATAATTTTAAAAATTGTGCAGCTACCTGTATAGTGCCGTTGTCATAAGCTGCAGCAAAGAAGAAATAACCCATGCTAGGGGGGCAGAACTGTGCGTCTCGTACACTGTCTGTACCAGCCACACCAAACTTTGTACACACTGTTGGTTTACGCACATCCTATTAACACAAGATGAGAACTTCATTCAAAGTGCATTTATTAATAGAACAATCAAAGTAAATATTTGGAGTCAACAATGATAAGCCCAAACAACCCTAGAGGCCTTAGTGACTGAGCTAAGACTTACATGAATCATGACAACACCATCCTGTGAGGCACTGAGCAACTGATGGTGTTCAGACCCATGAAACGCCACCCTGTTCACAGACCGTTTGTGTTCTTGATATATTGTTGCTGAAAATGGAAGTTAAAGCTATTGAACAAAATCTTGAAACTACTTAAATGAATTGTTCTGTTAAAAATACTAGGCTCATACTTAATTTACCAACATTTACATACTAATCACTAGTGTTTAAATATTTTTGGAAGGATTGTATTGATCACCAAAATTGTTTTGCTAATTGTACCAATAATATTTTTAAAATTTGAAAAATAAAACAATAACTTTCTAGCCATTAAACAATTACCTTGTTTTGATTTTGCACTTTTACAAAGATTCCAGATGACAACACAGCCATTGGTAGCAGCAGATGCCAGCATATTCTCTACAACAAAAATGTTTTTAATGAGTCAAGAGTCCACAAACTAATTGGCCTCAAACTTTTCTAAAGTAACTGGCAACAAGAAAGAACCCACCATCTGACGGGTGCCAGGCAACATCAGCTGCTGAGTACGTCAGGTTAATGTGTCGGCCAACTCTAAGGTTGATGTTCTCAGTGAAGCAGTCCTCTTTGATGTTCAGTATTTTAAATACTGAAACAAGGAAATATACAAACATTAGTTCACACAAACAATCAAATATTTTTTGATTAACACAGTGATCATGTTAAAATTTTAAAATGAAGTGAGATAAAAAAAAAAGTTTACAGTGTGCTAATAAAAATCAAATCAGGAGGCATGTAGCTTACAAACATGGACAACATACATCTATCAATAAATATTTGGAAATCATTAGGTTTTAGTGCGAAAAATTAATTGATTAGTCAAAATTTAATTTAAATGCAACAATCATTTATCACTTGCTTAACTGATGGCTGTAAACACAGTCAATATCCAAAAAGTTAGAAGTTTGATTATAAAACTAGCAATGTTTTAATGCAAAAAATACATTATTAGTACTTTATTACTAACCCAAAAGAGAAATAACATAAAGTTAAAAAATATTATTGACAATATACTTTTAAAGAAACTTTCTTTTGCTCTTTGTCTCTGATTTAATAGGAATGAGCTACAGTAATTTCAAACCTTGATAACTTCAAAGATAAAATGGTAACCAAGTATTTATTACTGACCTGAGCGTCCGGCAACAACAACTTGAGTGAAATCTTTATTGGCGGCCAAAGAATTCAGAGGGCCCTCACAGTAAAAACTCATGGGCCGATAGGGATCATTGTAAGATACTGAATAGACATAAAAGACGTTTTAGAAAAGGCTAAAGAACATAAGATACAAATAAATAACATTTTAACTTAATTTTAAGTGATGTATAAAAGCCAATGAAATGGTCTATTCAGAATTTTGTTTCTTACAGTAACTAAACAATTTATGAATGCGAGTTATAAAATTAGACCATATGTATATACTTGAATAATACAAAATAACGTACCTTTATCATGAACCATCTTTGACATGTTGGATAACTGCATCATTTTAAAGCATTACAACAAATCTGTAAGAATATGAAAATAATTATTAACTACTTTCTTTTAACCAGCAAATTTGAGCAAATCTGATAAACTTTCTTCTTTTCCTCGAATAAGCTTATATCTCAATACTTTCACCATGATTGAGTAAAAGCCAACCCTTATCTAATAGCAAATAAATATAACTGATTGCTTAAAAATATTTTTTGCCTTGAGAAATTCTAAATGTGAAATATTTTGTCGGAGAAATATTTTGTCAGAGAAAAAAATATTTTGTTGGAGAAATATTTGTCAAACAAGATATTTTTTTCTGTGGTATTTTGTTAAGTAATATGTAGCTACTAGATCTAGGTTGTTGGTTTTGACTTCATTTTAATAATCAACTAGTAAACTGGTACAGCCAAGCTGTACTTGTAAAAATTTTTAGTAGGCTAATGAGCCGCTAATGTAAATGTCTGAACTACAATCTACTATCTAGAGATCTAGATCTAGTACTAACACAGATTAATTATGACAAGCAATATTAATAACAATAGTATGTGTGGTACAGAGGCGTATCCAGGTTTTCGTTGTAGGGGAGCGAAAAGAGCAAAAAAAGGCGCCGAATTTTTAACACGTTCTATATACGTGTATTATATATATATATATACGTGTATTTTATATAAATATATATATATATATATATATATATATATATATATATATATATATATATATATATATATATATATATAAAATTACTAGCTGTATGTCATTACTTCGCTATGATGTAAAGTAAATTGAAAGTAGCACTCTGAAGAAATAAGAAAAAATACACAATGTAGGCCGACAAAACAAAAATTGTATCAATCTAAACAAAAAAAGTATATATATATACACACACTACAACTAAAAACAATGAACGTAACACAATCTGTTTTGTAATTCTTGTAAAAAAAAATTCTTACATAATAATTCCTGGGAAATTATTTAAGACAAGTGAAATAGGGGAAATAATCAATCTCTTAATATAAATATGTATATATCTACACATTTAATTATAAATGTCAAAACAAATAAATAGTTACTTTAGAATATAATGAAATTGTTTAACACTACTCGTGTTTACAAAATGTTTTTGTCTATAATCAGAATTTAATATATCGTCATCATAAATGCTAAAGTATTAAAGCATGATAAAAGTTTTTAAAATCAGAGGTGGTATAAAACCACGCTTTTCGTTAAAATAGAAAAGCAGTCGGAATAACAGCCTACATTTAATTAAATATCGGTATATATATTTTATTAACTACTGCTTCTTTGTGTTCTTTAAAGATCGTTTTTTAACATAGTGATAGGTATGGGTTAGATCACTGTATTGATCACACACCTTTTTACTGGTAATTGAAAAACAATTTTCACAGAGTTTTACGTTTAAAAAGCTAATTTTCTGGCGGCATGGTATTTTTGTACATCATTACGCGTTTTTCTACATGTACTTAACAGATCAGTTCGGGGTGGGTTGGGGGGGGGGGGGGGTGGATTCAACTTCATTCACCACAGTCCGTTCACTTTAGGTCAAATATCCAACCCAGTGTATACCTAGGCGTGACATTAATGTCGCTCTACACCAGGGGTCTCCAAACTACGGCCCGCGGGCCGGATGCGGCCCGCGAAGTCCTCTCATCCGGCCCGCGGAGATCTTTTTGTCTAAGGAAAAATCGTTTGCTGGTGATGGCTGAGGAACTTTGCCCAGAGAACTCAAAGACATGCCTGAAAGAAACTGGCCCCCGAACTGAAATTTGATAGTTAATGCGGCCCTCGGTCTGAAAAGTTTGGAGACCCCTGCTCTACACAATTGTGGTGGTGAGGTGTATGGGGGGGGGAAAGATAACCTACTCAGAGTGAACATAGCGTCAGTTTTTAGATGCCTGTTCTAAACATACATATATATTACACAAATATATATTACACAAATATATATTACAGAAATAGATTTAAATAAGTAGCAGTGGTATTATGACAATATTTTTTTACAGAGGGGTCCATGGGGGAGGGGGGTTGTAACTGTTTCATATAATTTGTAATCGTAATCACTATCGCTCAAACTGTAAGAATACTACTACTTCATCGTGATGACGTTGTTGACCTTGTCAAAATTTCCCCACCACTACCCATTTTGCTCATAAGTAAATTTAAATAGAGGTGCCACATCAGTTGTATTTGTTTCTGTATTGTAATTTTTAAAGAATTAATCACAAGATTCAAACTGTATATATAAAGTAATTATGTGTGAAGTTTTATATATAACATTTTCTAATTCAATTATTCGTAAGCAAATACATTATACAGTTGCCTTAAACTTAATAATCCTCTTGCCAAGTGGTACTACCGTAGAGGTTTTTTAAACATTGCAATGCATCGTAAGGGTTATTTTTAGAATGGCAAACTGATGCAGCTGTTAATACGTGTTGTAAACGTAGACACTACTAGACTAGTACAGTAATGCTTAATTGCTGCATGAAAAGAAATCTTGTGATTTACATAGATGAGCCGACCAAAAATATTTTTTAACAAATATCATTGTTTAAAACTTTGAGTTTAAAAAGTTTCCAAAAAGGCGCCACTTTGCTGAAAATGGCCAGAGGGGGAGCGGCCGCTCCCCCTGCTCCCCCCCTGCGTACGCTACTGGTGTGGTATATAGGGAGAGGTAGATCTATACTGTTAGATCTATAACTTAGACGTATTTATTATTGTTCTGAAGCTACGAACAGATTTACACATATTTTTTTTTTCTATAGTTGAACCTTTTACAGCTGATTTGTTTACTTCCGGAGAAGATGAAGCCCACAATGCCGAAATTATGTTTAGTCGAAATTTTCAAGTTTCTTTTTATAGCTTTAGATAGATGAATGAAAATACATAGACCGTAACAGCCGCCAGATACAAAATAGGGATGATATTTAGAATCGACCCTTTGAATCCCGGACAGATCGTCCCCCCGGTGTGGCCTCAACCAACCGGCGGGCTCGTTGCATTGAGTTAAATATAAACTCAAAACAATAATATAAACAATCTCCTTTCGGTCGGTCGGTCAGGCCACATACCACGCACGCATAGTGTTGTGTGTCGTGCCTTAACCAAAATAAACTATCTCCCTTCATTATCATTAGATATATTTAATTAATTAATTAATTAATTTGCTAATTATAAAATTATGTATGATGCTATAGAAGTAGGTAAGTATATTTTTTTACTATGTATTTGTACTATTAAACATATTAAAGAACATCGTTGTTTCAATACCATCCTCTCCCCTTATTGAACTCAAAGTTAAACTTTCAACCCCGTTTGTAAAGACTAGCGGTATGCTGTAAGGCGGCGGGTGGGTAGGGTATATACTCATTGAAAAAAAATCCACCGTGGTGCGTGTTATTGGCCTTGGGCCTTGGGTGACCGTTGTTGGCGCTTGCTGTGAGGGGGAGAGAGGTGTGTGTTATACTCGGTGAAAAAAAAATGCACCGTGATATTGGCCTATGATGACGTCGGCGCAAGCGGAAAGGGGTGGGGGGAGACGTTTTTTTTTTTCAAAACCAAGAACTAGGCGTTTCAAGGCAGTAATGAAAATCAAGGACTGGTATAGCCATGTTGTCGAATATAACGAGTGATGCTTGCTGGGTCTATCATCATACGATTGCTTGGCGATGGGAGTCTCGTCAAGCTCAGTTTACATTAACAGTGAACTATTGGGATGCTGTCATACACAAAGTAACAGCTACCGAATGTAGCACTTACAACATCGAGTGCATCCCGCTCATTATAAATCTTTGAAATACAAGTTATGAATAGTCCAATAGGCAATAACTACTAATACTTGAAGGACTGTCAGAATATATGCATTGTATTATAAAATTAATCCTTACGATATAACTGAAATGTGCATCCAAATATGTTTAGGCTAATGGTATCTGCATTTAAATAAACAAAGTCAAATACCTACCCCATTCAGTAGAAATATTAGGCTACTTTTGCATGGCAGCACAACGACATTTTTTAGATTTTGTAATGAGTAGCCTAGTCATGCATTTAACTAGAATAAAGGGTTGTACTCAATAGCAATGACAATAATGAAATGACGGCTTCAAATGCCGGCTTCCCCGTATTCTTCGACTAGAAAGACACCACCCTCCACCTTTTGCCTAGTTGAATATAAAGTTACACTTTCAACCCCGTTAGGATGCGTGAACTACTGGTGACGTAACTACTGAAAAAAAAAATATTCTGCTGTTAAATTCCCCTCCCCTACTCCCAGCATTTCACTTTGGGGCCATACACAACATCAGGAAGGTCTAGGTCGGTGTTTTATCTCGTGCAAGTTTACTCACAACACGACTACACACTACGGTTGTATCCAGGATTAGAGCTGCGACACTTACTTAGAGTGGGATTTATTCGTTAGATCATTGTGCTTCAAATTCTGTTTCATTTTAGGATTAGAGTGATAGTATGTTGGAATTCAGTTAGTTTGTTAATTAATATATTGATCTAATGTCGTGTACCATCAGAAACTAAATTTATTGGCAAGGCACATGTGTAGGCCGTGTAGGCTAAAGAATGACCTCTAGATCGAGCCAAAGATGGCTGGTTAAGGTTGACATACTGTGGTTTTCAAATTTCCTGGTGATGCTTTTCTAACGGATTTTATTTTGTGCTTTCTTTGGGATTATTTTGTGTGATGTGAATATTCAAAAGTAATTTGTAAGTAGTATGCTTTTCACATTCAACCAATTTAACAGTTTGCGGTCGATCTGCGGCCGGGCTGATTAATTTACATTTAGCGAAACTACACACTACACGGCGCCCTCAGGCCGTTGTTTCAGCATGCCCTACTAGTCAATTATAGACAACTTTAGAATCAACACATCTAGCCAATACATCGATTTTTATTTAATAATCTTCAAAAGCCATTTCTCTAGGGTCGTTATTTTCACGAAATTGTCGTTTTCCAATTTGTTGTCAAGAAACTGGTATTTAGTTCACGAGAACGTACGAAAACCACTCATGCGTGACCGAAATCGTCGATCGGGTGCCTTCACGTGGTTTGACACGTGTTGACATGGGCCTTTGTTTACATCGAAACATAGCTCAAAACAGCCCTTTTTTGAATTAATTCTTCGAAAAAATGGCTATGTCCATTTCTAAAAAGGGTCATTTTCGGGCCCATTTTAAAAAACGTAAAAAAATCCGAACTACACGTAGAAAAAATGGCTTTTTCGGCCCTTTTTAGCTCCAAAAACGCCGTGTTTACGGGTCGCGTGACGTCATCGTGACGTCAGCCGCCAACCAAAACGCGTTGAAAGCGCGCGTTTGATTGGTTGGCGGCGGATACTATGAAATATCAAGGGTTTTCTCTAAATTTTTACCCAAAATAGTAATGTATTCATATAAGATAAATCATTATTGTTTGGCTTTTATTTTGTAGTTCTTCTTATTACCTTGGCTGTTATTATTTTTTAATGTGTTCCTTTAGGCCTAAAAAAAAATCACCTTTAATGGACACTCCCTTCCACAGATGGCGCTACTCATTTGCATATCAATATGGTGGTCATTGTGTTGTTATTCATTGTGTGATGATATGTGAATGTGTCGTCATAGTTATCATTCTTGACGTGAGCACACCTGAGAAGTAAACAGATTCTTCATCGCAGTAAGTTACTAGATTCTAAATCTATATTAATAAAATGTATACTTTGTTTGAAGTTACAATTAATTAAGCGCTGAAGAGTTTAAATTGGTTTTTTAGCGTTTAAGTACTTAGTACTTAGATCTAGATCTAGATCTAGTACTTTAAGTTAAGAATAAGATTAAATCAGTGTAACTTAAGTTAAGAGTTAAGACTAAGAGTTTAATAATACTTATTAGTAATTACTTAAGACTAAGACTACTTACTTAAGAGACTCAACTTAAGAGTAGTTTAAGACTTTTAAAAGACCTTAGTTAAGTTAGGCCTATATTCTATATTATTAATATTAATTAATTTACACTTAGAAATAAGTGTATAATAAGACATAAGACATAAGACTACTAATTTAAATTACTATAAAAAAGTATAGCCTAAAGTATATACTATAAACTATAATAGTAGTAGACTCTAGATCTAGATCTAGAATAGATCTAAATGTGCTAGACTTGTCTATATGTCCTATCAGTGGCGTAGCGAGGTCGGGTGTCACCCGGTGCGGCACTTAATGGTGTCACCCCTCCAGAGGCATAGAGACCCTTCCCAGGGACAAACTTTCAAATTTTTGATTTGCACCCCCCCTCAAGTTTTCGATTTGCACCCACCCCTCAAACTTTCGATTTGCACCCCCCCCCCCCTCGAGTTTTTCTCTATATATTTTGCTATTTTTTGCCTTGGTGTCACCCCCCTAAATGGTGTCACCCGGTGCGGTCCGCACCCCCCGCCCCCCCCCCCCTCGCTACGCCCCTGTGTCCTATGAGCCTAAGAGTGGCCTAAAACTAATCTAGAGTGCTGACTAGACTAGACCTAGATCTATAATCTGGGCTATTAAATCATTAAATAATTTATTAATTAGTCCCATCCTAAACGATACCAAATAGAATATAGATCTATAATCAATCTAGATCTACCTAGTTCTATCTAGCTGAACATATCTAGTAAAAAAATTATCTAGATCTAGATTCTAGTATCTGATGTATGAGTATGCACAGTGACAAAATAATAAATTTAGGCTAGTAAGCATATTTTTATTATTTTAGTCTAGATTCTAAATTAAAATATGGGATACAAAACATTACCTCCTTAATAGCCTAATCCTAATAATTCATAGGTAGATCTAGTTATTTAGGCCTTTTGTTTAGAAAATTCTTTATTCACTTCTGGTCACTTCTAACACTATTGTTAATATTATAAGACTAGTCAAATCTTTCACTGAATGGGTTGACTGGTAAGTTTGGCAGCCCACTAACCTAAAGCCACCCTCCCCTCTGCTACTATACAGTCTATGGCTCTAGCCCCATAGGACATAGATCTAGGTGGATCTGGGGGGGGGGGTCTTAATATTTCATTTAAAAAAAAATGTATTTGTGTGCCTTACATTTTGCAAAAGTTATCAAATATTTTGCTTATTTGTTGCTTTTTATGATATTTCATGTATAATTTGTGCTCGTTTCTTAATATTTTAAAATGCTTAGGACAATGCCTATTATAGAGCCATAGGTGTATCTCAGAGAGCACATGGAGGCAAAGCAACACAAAATATATATTTAGCTTACCTCCCCTAAAAACCCTCATAAACTAGGTCTGCCTTTGCCTAGCCGTGACCTAGATCTAATCTATAGATAGTGTATTTTCACATTTTTCATATCAGTAGTGTGAGTGTCTGATAATGATAATAATACTACACCTACACCAATATACAAGAATCTTCTAAAGATGGGTGTTGGGTTCATAGGTTGCTACATCAAGTGGGCAGTTGTTTTGATACTTCAAGGAGGCTTTTGTTGCACTTAACATTCTCTATTAGCCAGTATCAGTTGGTAATGTCAATACTAACCCATCTTTCAATAGACCTGTTCCTAACTCAACTCTACTTCTACCAATCTGAACACAGTAGGCCTACTACAAACTAAGAACAAAGTATTTTGAAGTATTCCAAAGTTTGGACATAAGTAGGAAAATTGTGCCATAGTATTCTCTGTCTCAATAATAATACTGTACTGAGCATTCTTTGCAACATTTAAAAGAACCTAGACTAATACAGTTATACCTAGACCAACAAATGCAAATTAAATATGACTATAAAAGAAAGAATCACAAATGTTAATGCTGTTGCTAACTTGTGGCTGTATCACCTACATTGATGCCTAACATAATGTCACATGACTCAGACTGGAGATACTAGCAAGCAGCATTTAGCTCCAGTAGAGCCACTCAACACTATCATTCTGTGTCAAGTAGTGCTGTGCATGATGAAATCCAACACAAAATGACTTAATCATCTATTTAAACTCACATTACACTGAGTCGATTTCAACTATTCACATGCTTGATGAGAAGATAATAATTCCTAATTGGTTTTTGATTGAATGAAGTCTAGTGTTGGAGTTTTTGTTAGTGTTCTGTAGTCTGAATAGGTATAACACTCCTCAGCCTATACTTTTTGACATGTTTTTCTATTCCTTGATGTGGATATACTCATCTTCTACACATTTTCAAGTAACATAATCAACTGTTTTGCCAGAGCCTAATAAGTGACTGAACTGGAAATATGTGGAGGGGGGGGAGGGGTAAGGTACATGTGAATCTTATAATAGTGGCCCAGTATATATACAATATATGTAGATATTTACCTGTAAGTGGCATCAATAATCAGGTGTATGTAAGTGAAACAACATCTTGATTTCTGATATCAGATGTGCAAGTGATGTGTTTATGATGGGGAATGGCTGGGAGGTAAGAATAGTCCAAATACTTGTCCATCACAAAGGATTCAATATCTAGAAACTGTTTCAGATAAAGGAGAAATAAACCGGGAGTGATCTCCCCTAAACTTTCTCGAATATTCTTATATATGAAACAACAGGGGATGGAAACTCCATTTTAAACACTAAAAGTTTTAAAAATAGAATAAAATCATGTAGAAAAAAGAATTGCACACCAGGTGAACGCCAAATGAAATGTGCATAATAGTGCGCAGTATTATTAGTACTTTATAAATACACATGCATTTTTTTGAGAAATAAAAAATAGCGTAAATTAGTACTTCCGGTCAACGGAAATTACTCAAAATTTGTCAGAAGGTAGAGAATTAGATCTTTTACTTACATGTGAAATTTCATTTAACTATCTGAAATAATACTCAAGTTATAGGCTTTTGAAAAATTCAAAGTAGAAAAAGTACCACTTCCGGTGATCGAAAATCGCTCAAAAGTTGATACGGATCTACGATTTTGATAAAATACTTATATATGAAATTTCATCAACCTAGCTGTAACGGTACTCAAGTTATCGTGTTTAAACACACAGACATACGGACAAGATAGCAAAATTATGTTTTTCCGTATCAGTGAGGCTGTAAAAGTAAAACGTCGAGATTTGCAAAAATCTCGATTTTTTTTTTTGCACGATTACAAGACTTTCTCTATACTTCGTGTAAACGAGAAAGTAAAAATAATGGGGAGGGAAGGGGGACAGAAGTAGAAGAGAAAAGTTGAAGTTAGACGTAATTTTATATTTTGTGTGTGTGTGTGGGGTAATGATTGACAATAGCGGGTCAAGTCTTTAGTTTCATGACTTTACTGAAGCAGATACTAATAGCACCACATGGTCCATACATAAATATTTTCATGATGCCATACTTTTCTTTACCCATTAACTGGTATCTGGCTGTCACATACCATCAGTTTTCTAATGTTAAGGAAAGTTTTTATATGTCCTCTTTGTATGTTAAGTACTTAATTGTTTTTTTTAACAACCACAAAGTGGTAATTTCCGCAAAATTAAGTACATCTTAGTTGTCTGACCACTACATTGCCGCTGATGTGTCTGTGTGGGGAGTCTAACATTGTGAGGTACCGGACACACATAGAACAAGACGTCTGTGTTCTACCGCTGATGTGTCCGTGTGTGGGGAGCCTTACATTGTCCATTACATTGTGAGGTACCGGACACACATAGAACAAGACGTCTGTGTTCTACCGCTGATGTGTCTGTGTGTGGGGAGCCTTACATTGTCCATTACATTGTGAGGTACCGGACACACATAGAACAAGACGTCTGTGTTCTACCGCTGATGTGTCCGTGTGTGGGGAGCCTTACATTGTCCATTACATTGTGAGGTACCGGACACACATAGAACAAGACGTCTGTGTTCTACCGCTGATGTGTCCGTGTGTGGGGAGTCTAACATTGTCCATTACATTGTGAGGTACCAGACACACATAGAACAAGACGTCTGTGTTCTACCGCTGTGTCCGTCTGTGGGGAGCCTTACATTGTGAGGTACCGGACACACATAGATCAAGACGTCTGTGTTCTACCGCTGATGTGTCCGTGTGTGTGTGGGGAGCCTTACATTGTGAGGTACCGGACACATAGAACAAGACGTCTGTGTTCTACCGCTGATGTGTCCGTGTGTGGGGAGCCTTACATTGTCCATTACATTGTGAGGTACCGGACACACATAGAACAAGACGTCTGTGTTCTACCGCTGTGTCCGTGTGTGGGGAGTCTTACATTGTGAGGTACCGGACACATAGAACAAGACGTCTGTGTTCTACCGCTGATGTGTCCGTGTGTGGGGAGCCTTACATTGTGAGGTACCGGACACACATAGAACAAGACGTCTGTGTTCTACCGCTGTGTCCGTGTGTGGGGAGTCTTACATTGTGAGGTACCGGACACACATAGAACAAGACGTCTGTGTTCTACCGCTGATGTGTCCGTGTGTGGGGAGCCTTACATTGGCCATTACATTGTGAGGTACCGGACACACATAGAACAAGACGTCTGTGTTCTACCGCTGATGTGTCCGTGTG